TAATAAATCCATTTTCTAACTGGTTAACGAACTCCAGGGCCCATCTAGCGCCAGGAGCTTCACCCTGACGCCCTGAGTTTCTGCTCGGCCCTGGACGCCGCGGACGCCGTCGGCGCCAACGCCACGGTGGCCCTGGCGGAAGCGCTGGCGGACTGGGCGACGGCCTGGGCGACGGCCTGGGCGAAGCGCGGGCGAAGGGGAAGTGAGTGAAGTGAGGCATGAGAAATTCTGGTTGGTGGTTTGGAAAACCATTATTATGTTTAAATATATGATAATAATGTAATGGTGAATATATACTGTTAATATATACATGTTATTTTTCCATATTTTTCCATAATAATTATTAGGAAGAATTATCCCAACTGACTAATATTTTGAGGAGTTGTTGAAACCACCAACCAGAATTGGTGAAACAACCAGAAATAGCCATGGAAATAGCCATGGCCATGGTTCCCCAGTTCCAGTTATGTGTGGATTCTGAATGTTGCCATTGAGTGGAAGCATTCAAAATTCGCACACAACAAATGGTCGGAACTGGGTTTGCGGTTGGGGGTGGTGGGGATTCAAACAACCTATGAATAGTTGTTGTTTTTTACATTGCGATTTAAGCAACAAAATTGGATGGGATACAATTGATTATACTGGATTATAGTATATTAGAAAGAACATTATAATAATAAGAAGAACATCCAATGGTTGTAGTGTGATAAACCCCATGCCATAAACCCACGATTGGGAATACTTCTCACAACCCAGGAATTCCAATCATCCACATAGATCACATAGTACTTCAAGGAGCTGCTTATTGAAGTTCCAAAGCATAGTTGTTGATTCCTGGGAATTCCGAATTGAAGATGTTGGTTTCAACTGACACTTGAATCACCCCACATATTACTATGGCTCTGAAATCCTGACCAAGCAGTGCAAAGGTTTGGCTAAGGTTTGGCTACCAGTCCGCTGATGAGAGTTATTAAACTTACTGGTGCTTAGTAGGGAATTTTCGGGAATGATCCCAGTCATCACTAGTAATAATCATCTCATTCCCCCAGCAACCCATCCATTCCCTACGTAAAACGCACCAGTAAGATGATGGCTTCTGTGTTCTAATGGAGTCGGTGGGTCTCGTTTTGAGTACCCGCAACCCATGTGTTTGATGTTTCATGACCATCAAACACACGAAGTGGTCAATGACGGATCACCACTTGACGAGTGCTTATGCTTATATCATCAGCGATGATAGATCGTCATCGCAGATGATAAATTGATCGGTTTATGACTGGTCGGTGTTGACTTGTGTTTTGTTTGCTACATTTTTATATCCACACTGGTGATTGTGATCTCCAGTGATACGTTTCTGATGGAAACCACCAATCAGGCGATTTCCTGTCGCAGAGATGAATCGTCATGATTTCAAGCTCCGGTGCGGTTGAAATCAACTCCAAGCAGTGGAAATTGCAGCTGCAAAGGGCGGAGATTGCAGGCAACAACTCGTAGTGATGGGGGGATACATCACAAGGAGCCATGTTGACAATATAGGATGGTCCTAAAATAGGGGGTACCCCCAGTCATCATCAATTTCTAGATGGGATGGAAAAAAAACATGTATTGACCCAAGAAACTTGGTTACGGATCATCAACTTGCTCCCAAACTTGGCTTATCTACCGATGAGAAACTCAGTTGGAACTAGGTGAATAGGAGAAGGAAATCTAAGTGGAATCTGAATCTGTTGCTGTTCGTAATGCATTATTGTTATTGATTATTTTTTGTTATTGTCATATTGCTATGAGATAATATCAGATAATATTATGACAATATCATAATATCATATTCCTACTATCATATTATCATAATACTGTTGATGGAAGAAATCCTTCACCACTTTCAAAGACCCACAGTTAAAACCTCGCGCTCCTAATTTAATATTGTTTGAAGACGGAGTGATCAAAATGGATTCGTGCGATTGACGGAAATCCTGCACCACCTGTCAACATGTCATTCAACATTGAACTTGGGGGTACGGGGGTACAAGTTATGCATTAGCAAATGTGATGTTATAGAGGTGGTGCAGGATTTCTTCCACCCACCGAAGAAAGAAAAGGAATTCTTGCATATTTGGTCTTAAAAAAATCCTTCTCGCCACCAGCTACTTTCAAAGGAACCAATCCGAAGAAAGAAAAGGACTGCTTGCATATTTGGTCATGGTCTTACAGATTTCTTCTCACCACCAGCTACTTCCATGGGATCCAATCTTTGGTCTTGCAAATTTCTTCTCGCCACCAAAGGATCAAATCCATCGTCCGTTCTGCTCATAGTTTCCTCAGTACGCTTCACTCTTGTTTCCTTCATGCCTGCTGCGGCTGGGAAAAGATGACAGAGGAGGAAGTGAGGCTGGCCAATGCTTGGTACACTGAAGACGGTCTACCGCCTTCAGCCATTGCTGAACGCTTGGGGCGCGACAAGTCAGTGCTGACCCGGTTGCTGGTCAAGCAGGTGCCCCAGAAGAAGCAAGGCAGACCTCCGACCTACTTGAAACGCTTGCTGGACAAGATGGTTCGAAAGGCGGACTGTAAATACACAGTTACTGCTGCCACGTTGAAGAAAGCTGCCAAGTTGAAAGTGGGCGAGCGTGTCATCCGGGATGCACTGCACCAGCAGGAAGTGTATTTCCGCAAGCTGCGAGAGAAGCCGGTCTTGACACCAGAAGATGTGAAGGGCCGGCTTGCTTTCGCACGCAAATACCATGGCAAGACTCCTGGATGGTGGAACAAGCATCTGCATGCAATCATTGATGGGAAGTCCTTCAAGGTCTACCTCAATGCAGATGGACGCAAGAAGGCCGCACAGCATGCGACTTATGGAGCATATCGCGCCCCGGGCCAAGGCCTAGCCCAAGGCTATGTGAAGCCGAAAAAAACATTGCTCACCAACCCCGGGGCCCGAAATGAGCTCATTCTGGCAGCTGTCGGCAACGGCAAAATGATGATGTGGCACAAGTGTGCCCGCTGGAATGGTGCAGCTGCCAAGGCCATGTACACGGGGCCATTGGCAAAAGCCTTGAAAATGGCATACCCAACCAAGTCAAAGTTCATTGTCCTGGAGGACAATGACCCCAGTGGCTTCAAGTCATCTAAGGGTGTGGCGGGAAACATTGCGGCCAAGATCCATGCCTTCGAGATTCCACGTCGCAGCCCTGACTTGAATGTCCTGGATTATGCGATCTGGAAGGAGATCAACAGACGCATGAGGCTGCAGGAGCAGAAGTGGCCTCGTGGGAAAAGGGAGGCCCGGGGACAGTACTTGACCCGCCTCCGACGCACAGCCTTGAGGCCCCCAAAGGCTTTCATCACCAAGAGCATTGGGGACATGCACAGGCGGTGCAAACGATTGCTGGCAGCAAAAGGTGGCTTTATTGAGGAAGGCGGGCAGTAGCATTCCATCCTCCCTTGCCAGTGCGTCAGTCTGGCAACCGTATTCCGGAATAACGCACAAGGCCCCCTGAACTTTAATTCAAAGACTAATGATCTGACAAGCTAACGCAAATGGTCAAAAGATACTGCAGCTTCTGCCGGCTACCTCTTTGCACTTCTTCAACTAGGCACATGAAATTTTAGTACTGTTGATGGAAGAAATCCTGCACCACTTTCAAAGACCCACAGTTAAAACCTCGCGCTCCTAATTTAATATTGTTTGAAGACGGAGTGATCAAAATGGATTCGTGCGATTGACGGAAATCCTGCACCACCCGTCAACATGTCATTCAACATTGAACTTGGGGGTACGGGGGTACAAGTTATGCATTAGCAAATGTGATGTTATAGAGGTGGTGCAATATTTCTTCCACTCACCATATCATAATCATAATATCAGATAATGCTGCTAATTGATATTATCTGGTTGGTGGTTTCAAACATTTTTAATTTTCCATAGTATATGGGATAATCCTTCCCATTGACTAATATTTTTCAGAGGGGTTGAAACCACAAACCAGTGTTAAATGGGCTTGACTTGAATCCCCCAAATCAATGATGGTTTTTGTGTTCTAATGGAGTCGGTGGGTCTCGTTTTGGGTACCGACATGATTGTGATATTGCCACGTGGCTTACAGTAATTGCCACGGCCAAAATCTAAAGAGCGACCGGCAGCTTGGGCTCAAAGTGGCCAGCATAACGGACGTGAAGGATCAGGATCTGGCTTTGTTCAAGTGGTTTTCCCGGTTCCATATATTATGTAAATGTTTAATATATATATATACATATATATATACATATATACATATATACATATATACATATATACATATATACATATATACATATATACATATATACATATATACATATATACATATATACATACTTACATATATACATATATACATATATACATATATACATATATACATATATACATACTTACATATATACATATATACATATATACATATATACCTATATACATATATACATATTTATACATATATATATATACATATATACATATATACATATATACATATATACATACATAAATATATATACATATATAAATATATATACACATATATATACATACATATATATATATACATATATATAAATATACGTATATATATACATACATATATACGTATATATATATTTATACACATATGTATGTATGTATGTATGTATGTATGTATGTATGTATGTATGTATATATATGCATGCATGCATGCATGCCTACCTACCTACCTACCTACTTACATACATACATACATACATATATATATATGGTTGTGCCAAAAAATGGTGGATACCACAATTTAGCCATTTGGATGTGAAAAAACCCGATCAAGCAGGTTCAACCAGTGGATGGGGCACCTAACTTTCAGACCAAACCATATGACTGGACTCATAGATGGGGCCCCACTGATCAATCTCTCCACAAGTCCAGCAATTAATTCCCCATGTTTGGTGCTTCTCCAGTAGAGACAAACCGATGGCCCCAGTGAGCCCCAATGGCCCATGGCGGCGCGTGTGAAAAATCGCTGTCATGAAGACGGTCTTCGCTATGCAGGTGGGATCATCAAAAACTGGTGGAATTGATCGTCGAAAATATGGATTTGTGAAAACAGATCAAGAAATGTGATTTAACACTATATCTAGCTATATATATATAAACTGTCAATCATAGTTATATATATATTATATATATATACATATATCCAGCTAACATTTGGAAAAGGGATCAGCCCAGTATATCCAAACATGACCCCCAAATGGGGGTTGAAGTTGGTTGAAGACCGCCTGCTTTTTCACGTAGCATCCGCTTAGTAGCATCCGCGAATCGTATGTACTCGTAACTTCGTGGTGAATCAATATATCCTGCTAAGTCCCTGGAATGGTTTCTTTATCAAATGGATTGTACAATTGCTGAGCAGTTGGAGCGCCGATCCGCCGATTCCAGGGCAACGGACTGCTTTGATTTGCCGAGTCGATAGGTTTTTTTTTGGGGGGGTTTTCCTGTGGACTGGGGAAATCTACTGGATACCCGGCCTGGCCATTTAGTTCGTGGATTTACCCAGCTACAAAATCGTGATTTTCAATAGCTATGTTAGTTTACCAGAGGGTATATTTTCTTTTTTTTGGAGCGACCCCTTTCCGCTGATCCTTTTTCATTGGCTTAGACATCAGGCGAGCCCGCTGATGCAGCATTGCTTCCCTGGCTCTTTGGGGTACAGCAGCTGGGCCTACAGGAAGAGGGGGGTTTAGCTCCAACATTTGGAATGAAAGTTCTGAAATTGAGGACTATATAAATCAGCCCAAAGGAGGATTACCAGGATTAGTAACAAAATTGTCAGACACATGTGGTTTAACAATCCGCAGTTGGGATTTACCCCACCCAACGTGTCGTTTTTAAGCTGCCAAACTGGGAATTTCACAACTGGGACCTTCATTGGGTGTGAACCCTGGTTGGCAAACTCCCTGGGCCCCCAAAGCATAGAGCAGGGGTTCTCGAAGGTGGTATTGTCGCAGGGGTGTTGGTGTATAAATAGACAGTATAGATAGACATAGATAAACATAGATAGACATAGATAAACATAGTTGATAATGTGATGTTAAGTCTATATAGATAGTATAGATATATCTACCATAAACCATAGTTGATTCACCGAGTGAACTAGTGCGCAAGTTAGCTAAGGCGCTGGGGCACCACCTTGTTATTGGCGGGTCAAAGATTGCTGATGTGGAGAAGAAAAACAGTCCATGTGTCATGTCAAACCTGAACACAGGGTTCCCCCAAATCTGCCGATTACTCATCATGTTGCAGTTAAAGTATACATTACTGGAGTTGTTTGGGTATACATCCATAATTTGAAATATTCAATTATTACTATATATATATATATATCAGACACATCCATATTTATTTTTCTTTGGGTTTTACGGCTGCTCTTTGCTTGACACTCTCAGGCAAATGCTGCCGCTACGCTGAGGACTCCTGGATGAGAGAGGTGCGGGAAAGTGGCAGATGGATGGATGAAACATGGTTTATTAATTGTGGGGGTACCCTCCAAACAGTCACACTATGATACTTAAATGGTATCCCCCAAATAAAACAACCTAGGGGTTTATTAATCCAGGGTTGACATTAAGGGGAATCATCCCAAAATGGCCCAAGATTTCAGGTTAGTGAATTATTGAGAAATTTGCCCAGATGAATGGATGAATGGAACTATATTTGGATATATTTAGATATTGTGTATATGGTGATTTTAAACTATCTATGAGGGTTTTTTTACCCCAACAGCTTCGCCGGGTTTCTAGGATGGATACATAAGTGTGATTACTTATGAGGCGGGTTTTTCAGAGGACGGCAAATCTACTCTTCATCTGGTGTGGTTTATAGATCTTCAAGAGGTCGACGAATATCCGATAGAGGATAACAAACAATGAGTATAAGAATTAACACTGGGAACACACGATCTGAACTGAAGTTATCTGGTTGATGCTTTCAACAATGACAATGGGCATGATGATATTAAACGCCCTTCACTTTTTGGTGTTCCAATCTGATACCATCTACTGGAAATCAAAACCAATAAGTGGTCAACTAAACCATACTAAACAATACTAAACCAGACATCAACGCAATAATAAAATGGTCAGGAAAATCCACACCACCATTTTGCTTTTGGTTCTTGGGTTGACCTGAAATGATGAACATCAACGTCTTGCGGAAGGAATTGGTGATTTCAACAGGCAACTGAAGGAGTTTCAACTGAAGGTATGTAAGGATTGGCTACGAAGAGTGAAGAAACCTGACCAAACTTTACTAGGCGAAGGGTCTCAAACGATCTCGCCAAAAGTGATATATCAAGTGATGCTTTACACAAACAGCCAGACGATAGTATGCTCCAGCTCAATTCATGTTGGCGAGTCATCATAATCTGTGTGGATGGTTTGTAAGTTTCATTCATCAACCCATTCGAAAATCCTAGAACTAACAGGCTGCCGGATGGATTGCAAGTCAGACCATTTCAGGGACTTTGGCATGGTTCGACCGCCTGCAGTCCAACAAAAAAACAATCAAAAGCAAGTCATGATGAGATGAAGAAAAACAGCAGCTGTTTTCGAGATAAACCTAATCATCCTAATCTAGATGAGTAGTTGCATTCTGTAATCTTTCACCATGTGAATATAAAAGCAAATCAGACCCTCACCTGCTCCAACTGGACAGCCTATAGGGGCTTAGGCGTGACCAATTGGGTTCATGTTAGTGAACGATGCTTGGTTAGTGGATTACTTTTCTATCTAGATATGGTTAGGTACTTCATGACACTTGAATATATATATATATATACAGTTAAGGTTGTTTGAGTTTGGATATCTAGTCATGACGGTAAAACCCTCATGTTTGACGAACAAACCTCCCAATTGGTTCCCAGTTTTTTGTTGTATCGGAGAAGAAATGTGTTGGGATGCCATGAGAGCAGTGACCAAAACTCTGGTTGAGTTGTGATACTAATCTTTTTGGTACATTACCCTCTGGTAATTTAACATAGCTATGTAAAATGGTCGGTTTATGGATGATTTGCCTATTAACATGATTTAGAATGTATATTGTCCATTGCTATCTGAAATTGCGAGAGGGTAATCCACCCCATATGTTCCATGGTGCAGGAATATTTACCTACATAACTGGCACAAAAATTGGTGTAACTGTAGGTACATATTCCAGCACCACGGAGCATCTGGCTTGGGGATGGTTTATTATTATTGGTATAACCCGTTATTATCGTATAACCACTACATGATTTGTTTTTGTGGTTTATTATGAATTATACAATGTGGAGCCCCCTAGATAACTAAGCTGGTTTATAACTAGCTTATGGTTTATGGTCGATATATCGAACTAGTTAATTTTATTGATGGGGTTTATAAACCAACTACAACTAGGGGGCGCAACATTGTACATACGAATTTTTACCATCTACAAATGGGGATGTAAGACTATTATATATTACTAATATATATATATGTATATATATATATACTATTATACACTATTATATACGATTATATACTATTATATACGATCACATACATTACCATGATGGAAATCCCAATGAACACCAACCACTATCCCCAGTGCCAGACTATGCAGCCCATGTGCTGGCCCGATGGGAAGCGGAACTTTGAGTCGCTGAGCGATGAACGGTGACCCGGGTGGCCCCGTTCAAGTGACGGTCAAGGGTTTGTAACTGGGTTTCTATGGAATATAAGCATCACACATGGAGATTTACCTTTGACCAACAGAAATAAGAGGAGAATGGGATATTATTGGCATATAATGGAGATAACTATCAACCCAATGGAGATAACTATCAACACAACTACAAACTGGTGCCCCAGTTAAAGCCGTTCGCCGTTAGTCAAGTCGGTTTGCTTCATTATGATAGGGTTTATGGATGTTTATATCGAGAGTATCGAGGGTTCTTTTTTCTCCGTCTGGATGACGTCACTGCAACGTCGCCAGAGATTATGGTGAATTGAAATTCACCCAGATGGGATGGGTTACCATCTACTAACCCTTATCCAACTAACCTCAGGGATCATCCCACTAGCTTCTTGAAATCTAACCTGCTATGGCGAAATCTCATTCGTTTTTGGAGATTCATCATGATTCATCCATCTTTTAGGATATTTGAATGATGGATTTTACATGTGCTTGGGATATCTTGGGATGGCATCAGACTCCAATTCCTTGATCTGATGAAAGTAGCGGGTTCATCTCGGTGCACAAAAATTGAGGACTAGATCCATTCTCCCCAACAAATTGCGGGTGTGTGACCGTCATGTAGAAAGTTGGGTTTATATGGGTTTATAATGGTTTATATCAATATTATATGATATTATCAATGTTTATAGATCTGGGTAAATTATAACGACCTCGCTGCGACCTCACTGGAATCATGGGTAATAAGGGAAATCATGCCAAATGGCCTTGATTCAGGTTAGTGAAATATTATAATTTACCCAGATTATTTCGTTTATGTACCATTATTATATAATATTATATACCACACCAATCCCTCCCCCAAATAAGGAGCACCCCCACCCATAAACCCGGCACGTCTCTTCAGAGATGGCGGGTCCGGAGATCCGGATGTGCAGTCACCAATGTGTTTCCAGTTTCCATGTTTTGCAGCTAAATACCATCTGGTTATTTAACAGTTTGCCATGGAAAATCACCATTTGTAATAGGTAAACCATCTATTTCTATGGGCCATCTATACCATGGCTATGTTAGTCATAACCAGAGGCTACCTGTTGTTGCTTTTCTTTGGAAGGTAACTTTTGATATCCGATTCCCTGGCATTTCTGAAAAACCAAACGAAACATCAACAGCTGACCTGAAACAAGGTTTAGCATTGAGTTTTACAGAGATATTGTATATGTATATTACCATGTATTATACTATAGGTATTGCCATGGTATAGGACATGGTAATATACTATAATACAGTATATTAATATAGGTATTACCATGTCCTGCAACCGAGTTCCATTTCGAATGAACTGCTCTCGCAACTGAGGCAATGCTGTTTTTTCCGCTTTGGGCCCACTCTACGGGGGCTGCCGTTCGAAAGTGAGGCAAAAGGGGGTCATCAGATCAAAAAATGGGTGGGACATTTGGGCAACACCATATTCCTTGGTTTGTTGGATGGATTGTTGCCAAAAAAGTAGTATTTTTTGGTTTTTTGGGGTTAGAATTAGAGCTAGATGGATCCACCACATAGTTGGTCGAAAGTTAAACCTTGTAGCAGGGGCTTCAAGAAGCCACCAAGTCTAGTTTACTGTGGAAACTCCAAAGTTTCTGGTGGATTTTCCACGTCAAGAAGTTCGTCAAGCAGGCCATCTTTCCATTGTGCGGTCGTATTTTTTAAGTGTGTTGGACACGAGTCTATGACTCCAACTTTAACTTTCGGTTTGAAATCAAGATTTCTGGCCCAAATTTTGACGCCCACCTGTTTTCAGGATTGATATTGACCTATAGCCAAAGTCAAACAGCCAAAAAGTCTGCCGCAAACCCACTGGACCTTGAACCCAAGGGTTCAAATAGTATGATTTTGTTTGTTTGTATTGGCAATCCGGCGGCCATGTGGCCAGGATGCTGATGGCGTGGTCTTCGATTTTCGCTCGCTGCAGCTGAAGCTCAGGCGGAAGCTGAGATCAGCTGAGGGATTTGGAAGATTTGGACCTTTGGGGCGGCAACAATAGGTGAATCGGTTTCAGACCATTGCTATAATGTGGTTAAAACAATAGTAAACCAACCCCCAAATCACCATAAATAGGCGTTATAAACCATTCCCAGTCATGGGTTGTTCCTTATTGTTTTTCCCACATTAATTTGTTTGAGTTCGTAGATGCTGAACCAATGAAAATGACGCAAATCGAATCAGAAATCTGATGTGACTGGAGGAATCCGAGTGCCTCAGTGATAAGTTTCTTCATGAACTGAACCCATCCAACTGTAGATATTGGTTATTATTATCTATTATTCATTATTCATCCACTATTTATAAAATTACTTTACTTCGTGTGATCCCCACCATGACATTTATACATTTTCTTACTGGCAAATCTTCTGGCATTCTATCTGACATATCTTCTGACATTCTATTTGGCATTCTATCTGGCATATCTTCTGGCATATGATCTGGCATATCTTCTGGCATATCTTCTGGCATTCTATCTGGCAAATCTTCTGTCATTCATCTGCATATCTTCTGGCATTCTATCTGACATATCTTCTGGCATTCTATCTGGCATTCTATCTGGCATATCTTCTGGCATATATTCTGACATATCTTCTGGCATTCATATATTCTGACCTATCTTCTTCTTCTGGCATATCTTCTGGCATATCTATCTGGCATATCTTCTGGCATATTTTCTGGCATTCTATCTGGCAAATCTTCTGGCATTCTGGCATTCTATCTGGCATATCTTCTGGCATATTATCTGGCATTCTATCTGGCATATCTTCTGGCATATCTTCTTCTGGCATATCTCATCTGGCATTCTATTCTTTCTGACATTTTTTCTAACTTTCTTCTTTCTTTGTCCCATATCTTCCTACATGAGGTCCGGCAGGGAACACTTGGCGTGGATACTCGCGGTTGAGGTCCGGCAGGGAACACTGGGCGTGGCTGGTCGTGGTTGAGGTCCGGCAGGGAACACTGGGCGTGGCTGGTCGTGGTTGAGGTCCGGCAGGGAAACTGGGCGTGGATGGTCGTGGTTGAGGTCCGGCAGAGAACACTGTGGATCGCGGGTCGCAGTTGGACGAGGACGACGAGGACGACGAGGACGACGAGGACGACGAGGACGACAAGGACGACAAGGATGACAAGGAGGACGAGGAGGACGAGGAGGAGAGGAGGAGAGGAGGAGAGGAGGAGGAGGAGGACGAGGCAGGAGGAGGCAACTGACATAAAATCTAACAACCCTCACCTGGCAGGTGGGGAAAAATGTTCTACAATTTCAACACACTGAGCCTGGTGATTTTTTTAAACTTATACCGTACCAATCATTGGGCGAGGTCATCGAGGTCATCGAGGTCGAGTCATCTGTGCGTTGTGCTCCCATTTTATTGTCGCTATTCCCACTTCATTCTTGGTAAATTCAGAAAAACATCAGCTAATTATGATTTATCAGTTTTTTTTGGCTATTGTTGGTAAAATCTGGATTTATGATGTTAATACCCTACATCACATTGATTGATGTTGATATACTGTTTAGTACTCTTATGGTTTACCACCTCATATCTATCAATGACGCGTAACATCCCCATTATTCCACTACAGTGTTCCCCAGTTTTGTTGGCTTTACCACCAAATTTTTGAGGGGGGTGAACACCCAATTCACCAGTTAACAAGAACAGTCAAAGACTTGTTGTTGAAGGTTAAATCTCATTTTAGCTGGTTAGACCTCCATGTTTTCCATTCAAAACAATGAATAGCTCAGTAATATCTCATACAGTCCTATATTTTCCATTAGAAAACCACCAAACACATCCAACAACCACTTATAACTACATCTTAACATATCTAAACTACATCCAGATGTGGCTTTCCATGGTTTACCACACCCTTGGCTTTCCATCATGCCGTATATCAACCGCAGGTCCTCGGGCTCGCCGGGCTTCTGGCCAGCAGCCTGGATCTTTGCGCGGCTGCTGGCGGATGTACGGCAGGCCGGGAGCATGGACGGCGATGGAAAACCTGGGGAAAGAAAGGGGGAAAAAGACCTGGGGAAAACCCGAGATTTTCATGGTTTGAATAGGACATTAGCTTGGAAAAAAAGAAAGACTTCTTCAGAATTGGAGATTTAAGAATCAAAGATTGTAGTTGACATGTTTCTGAATCGGGGAATTCGTGGTTTACCCCTCAAAATTGATGAGGGTATAACAACCATGGGGATATACTGTAAGGGGAGCGGAAGCATTCCGCGAGAGAGATCTCGGAAAACCACCAAGATGTTTTTCAGCCTCCAAATGCTGAGTACTGGGGTGTAAACATGCAAACATTCAGGATTTAACCAATGAATAGTGGATGTGGGTTAATTGATGCGGGTTAACGTATGTGGGTTTGTCCAAAAATGATGGATATTCCCGTTTCTGGCTATTGCAATAGGGAACACTATGATCAACGAAGCGATTCATCGCCAAAAACAAGGTTATTGTGATTGTGGATAGTGAAGGAAAAATACAGTAACATGGAACCTGAAGCAAGGGGAAGATTGTCTTAAGCAGCACAAAGAGTGTGGTCAGCATGGGCAAGTTTTTTACTTCCTAAAATTATCACCTCTTTGGTTACAGGCACTGGATTGCCAACACAGCCTTTTGGATGATGTTTCAACCATCCATTTTTGTGTGGGTCAATGGTTTGCAGCCAAATAGAACTACCACCCCATCCCAGTGGTTCTTGGATGCCTTTCCTCTGGTTGTCCAGAACTTTGTGATTTACAGAGATTTACATCGTTGGAGATGGTTCATACTGTGGCTTTTATTGTTGTTTACCACTTCATGGTCTGAAAACCACAGATAGACTGGGTAAATTTGGCTTGTATGGCAATGATTAGCATACCCTCCAGTGAACTAACATAGCTATGGAAAATTGTCATTTATATATATATATAGAGATTATTTATCTATGATTTTAATATATTCTGAATTGTGAATTTCCATAGCTATGGTAAATTACCAGAGGACAGCATCTTTCGGTCAGGATTTGAGGATCATGTTTTTTGCGCCGGTGGGCACCCGAAATGGGAAGCGTTCCACATAAGACGCTATCTTTATTGGAGATATGCTGTGTATATATATATAGTGTATATATATATATATAGTGTATATATATAATTATATACATACATACAATATTATATATATATATGTATAATTATATGGGTTTTCATAAGTGGTGGTACCCCTACTTATGGATGGTTTAGAATGGAACATCCGATCTAGACATGTATGATTTAGGGGTACCTCCATTTCCGCATTTCCGCAGGCGCAACAGCAGGCGGATGCCTTTCACTGGCCGGAGGGCGCTGAGCGATTGTCCCGTCTACCAGGCGCCGTCGCGTCGCCACCGATGGGATTAGTACAGATGTACAGCTTATTCTTTTGCCACCAATGGGTGTGTATTGGTGATATTGAAAGACCTGTGGTAGGTCAGGTGCATTGTTATAGTTCTTTAATGTTCTTTGCCAGAAATGAGATCATGGAGTTATTAGTGAGTCGTGTTCTGCAGAATTTTATCATATTTTTCGAAGATTGCCCATTTATAAAGGTTCTTTAGCCTTTAAATATGGTGATTTTCCATACCATATATAGCTACTTCAAATTAAGATTGACCCTGGGACGGCGCACTTGTTATCCAAACTGAGGATTTGAATGAACATGGAGCTAGTCTCCGTTGATCATCAATGTATGTATATATACATCTACACATGGTATATATATATATATATATAAATAGTATATTTACGATTGTAGTCACATATATGCTTCTGATGACAACTATGCATGCTAATTATTATAAGTATAGTTGTTGAATAATCATCAATACATGACAACTACATAACTATACCGACTATATATATATATATTATAATATATTTCACCAAATAGTATCTTATTGATGTTCTATAGCCTGTGGATCCAGCCATGACTTCCGTGTGAGCGACTCCTGCCAGCCCTGTAATGCTTTTAGGCACAGAATTATATCGTCCTCCATAGTATAGTTGTTGCAATTCCTACTATAGGTAGCTATGTATTTATGTCGTACACCTATGATAGTTACGATAATATATATATATATAGTCTATATAGTTTCACACACACATACAATGTGAGGACCCCAGATAGCTAAGTTGGGCAAACAACTACAATTTCACTAACGGTTTTGGTTGTTTTATAACCACAATGTCCATGGGGCTTTTAACCAACTTTTAACTTCTGCACCCGCAGGGTCCTGATCTATCTACAGATAAACCATATACCATCTATCTACAGATAGATGATACTATATATATATACATGGATACCATATATATATATATATACACATACTTTTTTTACGCACCAATACATATGTATTATATATATATTACATAGTCCATCCACATATAGTAGTCCATCTTTCTCGCTTAGATACCTATGATTGTTACAGTGTCTATCAAAATTTCTGTCTATCTATCTATATTATATTATAAATATTATATAGTAGATTCTTACTATCAATAATTTACATATATCGATTATTACTATCAATAATTTACATCAATTGATATGGATATTGATTATATATACATATATATACATATCAATATATACATATCAATATATATTTCCAATGATAGATATTTATCAATGTAGAATATTATAAATATTATATATATACATAAACATATCAATTTCCATTACCCATATGCATCCCTTCCTTTCGGCAGATCGTCCCCTGCGCATCCTGGACGTCTCCTGCGGCGCTGGTCTCAGCTCCGTGCTGGGCGCCGCCAGGGGCCACAACGTGCCGCTCGGAAAATTTCCGGGTGGAGCCGGGGGGGGCCAAGGGGTGAGCTAAGTGGAGCTGGGAAATGGTTGGTACCCTGGGGTTTAATGGGATTTTATGGTGGTTTAATGGGATTTAATGGGATTTACCCTCTGGTAAATGTTTACATAACTATGGAAAGATCCACCATTTTTAATGGGAAAACTCACTATTCCTATGGTCATTTTCAATAGCTATGTTAAATTACCAGAGGGTAATATCTACAGTTGGATGGTTTCCAGATTTTACCAACAATTGTTTGTGGGATTTCCAACAGGCACCCTAGATTAGATTGGTACGGTATAAGTTAAAATCACCAGGCTCAGTGTGTTGAGATTGTAGAACAAAATTATAAATAGTGGATGAATAATGAAAAATAACCAATATCTACAGTTGGATGGGTTCAGTTCATGAAGCAACTTAGCACTGAGGCACTTGGACTCCTCCAGTCACATCTGATTTCTGATTCGATTTTCGTCATTTTCATTGGTTCAGCATCTACGAACTCAAACAAATTAATGTGGGAAAAACAATAATAAACCAGCCATGACTGGGAATGGGACACATACCACCTATTTATGTTGATTTGGGGGATGGTTTACTATTGTTTTAACCACACTGAGCTAAGGGATATATATATATATGACTAATTAATACTAATTAGTTAACCATTCATGAACTATCTGTCAATAATTCACCGCTTATTTCTTTCTATATTTGTTGGATAATGGTAATTAGCCATCTAATAGTCATTTGGTGATCATTAATAACTTCTCTCTACTGAAAAGGTTAACAGATATTCATCATTTGCTGATGACCATCTATCAATGGCACCATTCGAACCAACATAGCTATGGAAAATTGCCCATGTATAGATGATTTACCTTTTTGAAAGCTGTCACTTTCCATAGCTATGTTAAATAAACTTATGGTAAATATGGTACCATTTGGCCATCTGGTAGACCAACAGTTAGCTATGGACATTACAATGAACTGGGCTGTTTTTTTTTTCATAACTATGTTAGTTTACGGAAGGGCAATAGTATATAAGTAACATATTTATTAATAGCTATTCATACGGTATCTATTTACTATTAACAAGGGCTATTAATGATTTCAATCTTTCTGTAGATGGTTATTGTTCCTGGCTGGTAAACTGCAAAGTACTATCATTTTTCACATCAAACGATGTTAATACTTAACCATCTACTAATAACAACCTACAAATATTGATGATGAATAACTCACCATCTACTAATAACAATATATTGGTAATTAAAAAACTTCTATCTCTTGATTTTAATCATAATCATAGTGCATTTTCTCGTGAAAGTCAACCCCTTTGTACCGAATCACAAACACCATGTGCCTCAATGTCTCCTGTTACAGTATACCCCGATTTTTGTTGCTTATACATATATATCTGTCAGTAAAACCCTAATTGTCCCAGTAAAACAACTGTCAGGTAGAATTGTTTGACGATTAAATCATGTTAAGTCAAATGAAATCATGTTTTTGATGCTTAGACATGCAAAATCTCCATTTCTTTGGTTAAATGCCATTGAAACACCTTCCATTGGTTGAATCCCATGAAATCTCCATTTCTCTTGGTTCTCAATCCCAGAAAAAACCTACATTATCATTGGTTTAATCCTATTACATCTATATATTTCAATCTCCATTTTTCTTGATTAAATCCCATGAAATCCATATTTTTTCTGGTTATATAAACCCTAGAAAATCCCCATTTTTGCTGGTGAAATCCTAGAAATTCATTGGTTTAATCCCATGGAAATCTCCTGTTCTTGTTACTAAATCTCCATGGAAAAAAAAACGTAAAAGGCGCCGATCTCCACGTCGCATCGCATCATCGCATCGTTAGGTCCTGTACGGAGGTGACCACAGAGTTGCTGCAACTGGCAGGCGGTCGGCACCCAGGGTAGGAAAGGGACCAAAATGTTACGGAACTATTTGGGTATGGATCAATACCTATTAATACCATTTTTAGTGGGATGAACATCCATTTACCAGCTATTTTGATGTTCACCAGGGGTACAAGGGTTTTGACACACTGCCATTTAAATCATTGGAAAATGCTGATTTAACCAAGAAAAATTGTGTTTTTCTAGCGTTTTAACCAAGGAACCTAATGATTTCATTGGAATTATCCTGGAAAATCTGGTGAGTTCGAAGTTCATGGGATTTAACCAATGGAATTTGTGATTTAATTGGATTTAACTTAACCAACCAAAAATGTGATTTCATTGGGATCACACAACATTTTAAACTTTGGCGATGAGGGACAGCAAAGATGAATTTAGTGAGATTTGTAGCCGATTGATGATAGCTAAGTTGACTTACATTTTGGCTATGGTTCGTGGGTTTATGAAGGATATATCTCTAGTTTTGCTGTGTTTGATAAATCAACTTATCACCGGGGAGGGCCTAGGGGCCTCACCTTGTAAGCAACGGGGAGTTCACCAACACGGCTATATTGGAGAAGTACACCGATGACAGGGGCATTAATATTTGGGACCTATGAGGGATATAGGGACCAAACGCATGATATGTTTAAATCGCAGTAAACCCCAATAAATCCTCAAAAAATCCCAATTAAATCCATTTTCCCATGGTTTTTCATCGCCTTATCGCCTTAGACTTTAGACCGTCCATTGTGACATCGACACCGACGCTCCGAAGGCCGCAACGCCGCGAAGAACGGCGTGAAGCTGCGCCTGCGGAAATGGGATGTGAGGTGCCGCGGCCGGGCCGCCCGCTGGGTGGGATCTGTGAGGTGAAAACGAAAGCAAAATTCATTGGATTGGTTTAAGGGAACATCTTAACCGGAAACCATGGTTTTTACCATCAAAAAAATTGGCTTAATGGTGATTTATTGGTGGTTCAACAGGCGCTCAATCGGATAAAACATAATATACCATCTGGTTATGACTAACAGTTTGCCATGGTTTGTCGATGGCCCATAGAAATAGATGGTTTACCTATTAATAGCATGGTGATTTTCCATGGCAAACTGTTAAATAACCAGAGGGTAATGGTAAAAATTAATGGTTAATCACCATGGAATCACAATACATGGTCAATCTGTGAGGTAAAAAATGTGTTTTCATGGTGATTTAAGCAATTAAAATATGGCGACTTGTATATTGGGATTCATCCAAAAAACATGGTAAAAAATGAGTGACGGCGTCTACTGGTTGAAGTGAAGAGTAGTGTATATATATATAAATAGATAGATGGATGGATAGATAGATAGATAAATACATAGATAGATAGACAAATAGATAATCGATATATAGATAGGCCGCTTTAGACAGTTGATATGTGTTTATATGGTTTTATGGTAACAAAACTTACTGACCCAGTAGAATATGGTATATAGTTTTGTGGATATTTAATGGAATATCATGGAATATATCGGATTTGACATGTTCATAACTCATAACGATCTCACTTCGACATCACTGGAATGCTGGTTCGGATTCAGGTAACTATCCCAGAATTCTGATCAAAGTATCAGTTGGATGAAACATTGGACAGCTAAATAACAGAAATATGTTGAACCGGATGATGGTTAAATATAGAACGGTTAAGCCTCGAAACAAATGCAAATGTTGGAAACTGTTAGGAGCAGCCAGGAATAGACCAAAGCTAAGTGATGTTGTCAATATTATTCAATATCAATTTCTAATTGTCGATAATACGGTGAATTTTCCTCCCACCCACAATACCATTGGAATTCAAAACATGTTTTGCTGTACTGGTGGTGGCTGGAATCGTGGGTTTGGGGGAGAACCTTGAATAGACACCCAAAGATTTTCCCAATTGTGTCTTCCCAGATAGCCGCACAGCGCGTTTCGACTGAGGAGGGAGCCTAGTTGGAGAAGACCACGGACTCGCTTTGACCTATGTCTACTGGACCTGACCTATTTCAATCTCCATTACCGATACTTGGTGCAAAAATCTTGGGGTCTGTGTCAGCAAGGGATTGGTGAGTTATATACACCAAAATTTAGATATATATGAGCTATGGTCAATACTCATGGTTAATAACCATTAATAGGGGCTAGTCATCCAATGGTTCATAGGGATTTATAATAACCATTATAAGGATCCTTATTATGGATGGGATGACCATCAACCATATAGTGAGTATTGACCATGGCTCATATGATATATGTGTCATTAGAAGAAGGGAAACATGACGGACATCTTTTGGGGGGTACCTCAAACATGACGCCTATTCTGAAACAAACTCGTTTGAGGCCTATGTTTTTGGGCCGGCAGGTGAAAGAAACTCCGGTTTCCAGTGATTCCTCATTCTGAAATTCATAATGTGCAGTAGTGAACTGCTACTTCCTGACTCAATGGGAATTGTAGTTGATTAATATGATTCCCCTATTAGATTATTAAAATCACCAATATATTGGGTAGTATGATCCCCTATAATCATCAACCAACAGGGGTTTTGAACACTGATTCTTGTACAGTGAGTCAGGCAATCCATTATGTTCAATTCTGGCAGATAATTCCAATGATTCCCATGGTTATTTCCAGGTCAATGGGAATAAAAAAGGATCCAGTACATGGAGCTACGTAAACGTACCAGATTTCTAGCCATAGGTGGGGATATTCCCTGAAACATAAGCCTGAAAAATAGGCCTTCTATATGGTAGATACCTCCAATCAATCGGTTCCGGTTGCATGGCCATTGACCAGGTACTTTGAACCGTCAGAGCTGGGAGATCATTCCCCCAAGACAATGGAATTGTGACATGCACTGTACCATATAAGGCCATATTTTGTGGGGATATTCCCTGAAGGCCTAAAAAATCGGCCTAAAAAAATGGAATCGGTACCTCCAATCAATCGGTTCCTGTTGCATGGCCATTGATCATTGTGGAGCCAAGGGGATGGCCTCAGGAAAGTTGCAATTGAATGAGATGCTGGATGAGACTCAACATCCTCCAATCAGCCGCGTGTATCTCGATGGCAAGGACCAGTCTGGTGGTGATTCCGCCGATGATTTTAGCCACCAGATTTACCAACAAAATCACGAATTTGTGGTTGTTACCTCCAAGTTTTGCTGCTTGCATTTGCACTTTGTGACTGGTTGATTGGTTGATGTATCATGTTGCTGTTTTTTTGTCCTGAACGATGCCAATACACTGTTTGTACGTCTTTTGCATCTGCGCATGATTACACAGTTGTTTTTGTTACTTAAACAACATGGTTTGTTGATCAGACTCCGCCTTGTGCATTGTCCAAGCATCCTTGTTTGCTGATTGAATGCCTTTTTTGTCGTCTTATTAAACCAATATTTGTGTGGCCAATCTTGGCCCTGTATTTTGATGATGTTAAACGTACATATGTAGTGATTATTATAATGTGTGGTCCTCCTAGAATTTGACAGACTTCGGTTTCTTGATATCTCTCTATGTTTTGTTGGGAAATGTCCACCATTTTATTGGCTCAATGTTTGGCTGTTGAAATCAGCAAAACCTCTCCATCAGTTAGGCAATCAAAGGGGAACCTCAGATGCCCAGTTCTGCCGAACAGAAATGCCATAATCCACCCATTCCACCCCATTAGTTGTTTGTAAATTGAAACACTCCACATAGTTGTTGGATCAATCCCAATCTATGTATTTCTGAATTTTTATCGAAACACGTATGTATGACTATATATTATGTATATATATATACACATAAGTCTAACATAGATATATACAGAGAGAGAGAGAGACCTCATGTAATTCTTATGTCTTTAATTTACATCTATTTTCATACCTTGCCTCATCCCACAGGTTACCCGTGGCCCTGCGACATCTGCGGAGTTTCTTGGGCGACTGCTGCCTCTATGCCTTTGCTGTCGTGGAATCAGACTGGACCGCAACGGGCAACGGGGGTTGGAAAATGCCACCAATGAGGGAAAAAGACGAACATCATAAACATTTAGTGGGATTTTAAATGGGATCTAATGGTGATTTATGGTGATAATATGTGATAATATATGGGATTTTAACATATCTGTAATTCTAGTGGATATTTTTGAGAAATAGTTGATATCAGATATGTGTTTTCATAGAATGATCTGGATTTTTGGAGGTTTTGAACCCTGAACATGGATGCTTAACCATTCAAAAATGGGCGTCGTTTGGGTTCCAGGTGGATGAACGTCAAGGGATTTAACAATAGGATTGACCTCACATGTTTACTGGTATTAATTTGATCAACATTTGATGGGACTATGGGTGATATATATATTATATATATATGGGAATCAACGGGTGATATATATATATTATATAAATATATATATATATATAATATATGGGAATCAACGACGAAACCACGGAACTGATGGCGGACCTGTTGCGTACAATTTCAGGAACCAACAACGTTTTCGGAACTAATGAGTGGAGGCAATGAAACCAAACAAACAATTTACAAGTCATACCAAAGAAAATAGATGTTGAGTACATATCAATAGTTGAAAATCACAATGTACTTCCACATTTTAATTGTGAATAGACCTATTAAATTATTAAACTATTACATCGTGAAATTCATTATAAAAAAACTATATACAACTAATAGGAGTGGTCAATCAAACAACACATTGGATGTGCTGGAGTTGAACAGGTTTATCAATTTGGAATTTAGGCGTGTCCATCCCAGCCACTCAAAATTTGGGCATGGATTAAAATTCTCGACCCGCTTTCTTTTTCGTGGACGCTACTAGAAATGACAACATGTTGTGAGTTCAGTGGGCCCGCAATGTTTTATCATTTTTTATACATCCCCCTTTCTCAGATGGAGGTTTCCTAAAATGGGGGTACCCCAAAATTATCAATTTTAATAGGATTTTCCACTGTAAATTATAAACCAACAATTTTGGTGTTTATTGAAACCCCCAGATGCCGCTGGAGCTGTCCCAGTTCCAACCCACAATTTGTCACTCCAATGCTGATGATGTAAAAAGGGATGTATAAAAGGATGGGTCGTGCCCTACTGACTCCTACTGGGACGGCTATATTTGGGGGTTTCCATAGTACCCCAAAATGCATGGGATGATTTATTTCATTGTTTTTTTTGATTACAATGGATGATTTAGGGGTACCTCGATTTTGGGAAACTTCCATGTGTTCATTCCATTTCATTTCTATTGTTATTGTTGGTTCCAACCCAACATATAGAACTATAGCCCCCTGGTTGGTTCTAGTTGCAAGTTAAAGACCCCATATTTTCGGCTTTCCAAAAATGGGGGTACCCCTATAAATCATCCATAAAAATAGATGGGATTTTCCAAATTGTCCATGAATTAAACAAACCATCCATAAGTAGGGGTAACCCCCATGACTCCATGACTATGGAACTCCCCATGTGAAACCCATGTGGCTTGGCCAACAGGAAAGTTATCCGTGAAGGGTTGCCCGAAGAGATGGCCTTTTCCAACTTCACCGTGCCTGGCCATGGCATGACATGGCGCCCCGAAAAACGCCGTGGTGTCAAACATAGCCTGAAAATCGCCGAAGATCATGGGAAAATCATAGGAAGATATGGGAAAATCATGGGAACATATGGGAAAATCATGGGGAAAAAGAATCGAAATAAAGGTCTACAGCTGGGAATATCATCTTTTTATGTGGGATTGTAAAAATTGAGATGTTTGATGACCAGAGGGTAACGAAATCTGGGAACATGAAATGGTCTGAAAAGTTCGGAGACCTTTGCAATCCAATTTTGGGGTACCTCTGGTGTCATCCAACATGGCTGGCTCGGAAGTCCCCTGAAATCAATGGGGATTTTCCAGCAAGCCATGTTTGATTAGCGGCAGAGGCTACCATGTCTTCAGAGAAACCATGACAAACCAACATATATATGCAACATATATGTACACAAAGATGGATGTTTAACCAACAACAATAAGACAAGGTAGCTGAAGAACCATGGGGCACAAGCCACCGCAAGACATGACTCAGGGTTTGCGCACGCTGGGAGGTTTTCAAGTTTGGATGTAACACTGGGACGTTGATTTGTCTACCATAAAACCTAGTGAAACATTAATGAACAAAGTCAACTCCACTAACACACTAGGGCACCAGGGAGATGATTTTGATCCCCAAAAATATTGGACAGGATAATCCCCTTTAATCAGCGACAGTCATTTATCATCGAACTATATCTTTGATAGTTGATAACCCCTACTGTATCAATGACGATTAAATCCGAGTTTATTGCCGTGTTCAGTCACCTTGGTTATATAATATAGTCTTAGTAAGTCCCCGATTCTTAGGGTTATCCCATTGGTTAATATTGATTATAACCTCACTTAACGATGATCTATAACCAATATTCAGTGAGGTTATAACCAATATTAACCAATATTAACCAATATTAACCAATATTAACCAATATTAACCAATATTAACCAATATTAACCAATATTAACCAATGATGAGGTACCCACCTTGGTACCTCACTTAGTCACCAGTGCTTCAATACGATGATCCTCCGATCTGCAGTCCGAGCTGCTGCGCAGCTTGCGCCACTTCAGCGCCAGCGACCGCAGCGATGTGCTGCGCGACTGCGGTGCCGGCCACACAGGGAAAGCCTTGCTGCGGCCGCCGCCCAGCATCAGCCCGTAGCGTGGCGAAACAGAGATGTTTGGGGATGGGAACCGGGCCGCTGCAACTGAGGTTATATGAAGTTGAAATAGTAGTTTCAAAGTGTTTCAAGATAGTTGGACTAATTGTTCAATGATATTTTGACATTTTTGAAGATGTTTTCGAAGATGTCTTGAACGAACAGTCAAAATATCGTCTTTTTTGGGATGCCAAAATTGAGATGGAAATCCTTGAGTTTTTTTAGGCCCCACGCCGTGCCCCATGCCGTGCTATAACAAGTGATTCCGTTTCGTTTTTTTTTGCAGCCTGAGGCTTCAGCAACATCCCTGTTCTTCTTTCACGTGTCTGCAGACATCTCCAGACTGTAGGAGACCACCGCAGCGTCAAAGATCTGGTATCCTCATGTATCCTCCAGATTCCTCTCACAGTACTGAAAAACAAAAATGTTGAAATGATTTGAACTGCCAAACATTAAAACCCTCTCTACATCTTTGTTCGTTGCTATCTTAGACAACCGATCGGGTGTCCGCCCAGGCTGGGATGGCTGGAGAATGCGGGTTGGACCCCACCCATCTTCCACCACCTGGTGCTCTGGTGACGACCATACCTTGGTCTCGGAAGAATGATAGCGGAGGAGATGGACTTCGAGGCAGGGTTCTTTGCATGTTTTTTGGCTCAAAAATGCTCAAACGCTCAAACTATATCAACATATCTGATTTGACCTGCAGTGGTTTGAGTACTGTTTTTAAAACTAACATATATATATATGTAAATGTATGTATGTATGTAATGTAATGTAGTGTAATGTATAAACATGGCCAAAGTTGTGTGGGCTTACTGCTGCCCCGCCCCAGCCATATTCTCGCACTTTTTCAAGTTGTCAGGACGTACATCCAGCGACGCAGATCACTGCAGCGAAAAAGACGTACGCAGTCGCTGGAGCGAAGGGAAAACCCTCCGAGAATCTAATCGTTAAAACTTGTTTGTTGTTGTTGTTGTTGCTGTTGTTGTTGTTGTTGTTTGTTGTTGTTGTTGTTGTTGGTTGTTGTTGGTTGTTGTGGTTGTGGTTGTTGTTGTTGTTGTTGTTGTTGTTGTTGTTGTTGTTGTTGTTGTTGGTTTATAAACCCCATCAATTGTGTATATATATATATAGAATGATATATATACTATAGAATGATAGGTATACAGGCCATAAACAGCCACTAACTAAACACAAACGTGAAGCTAGTGAACTATGAGACACCACCTTATGGCAATGGAAGACACCTATGGCATATGGGACCCCCATGTCAGCTATGCTCAGCAAAACATGGCGTAACTTGGGTTACAACTACCGTTTGCTGCATGGTTAGCATATGTGCCATGGGTCAACAGATGATGTAACCCACATTGGCGGATGGTCATACCATCCTGAAGAACCATACCATCCATTGTGAGACGGATAGTCAGCTCAGGGAAATTGTAACAAAAAGGAGGAGGATCCCTGAGGTATTCTTGTGTGGATTTCGGAATCCAAGCGTCTGTGTATCCCTTAAAATTTGCTTGTCATGAATACTGTAGATGAGCCTATTCTGGTTGGTGGTTTGGAACATTTTTCATTTTCCATAATATAGGGGTTGTCATCCTTCCCAACTGACGAACTCATATTTTTGAGAGGGGTAGGTCAACTACCAACCAGATGACATATGATAAGCCGTGAAATCTCAAATCTAAACTTGAACTATGACCCATGAACTCCCAAGCAATTCCTCCATTCCTTGGGTCATCCGGTTGACTGGAACATCCCCCGAGTCGCCAGGGTGGGTCATTTTCTATCGTTGATTTGCCAAAATATTTGGGATATGTCCATTTGTAGATCTATGAATCTATTTCTTTATCTATATACATATATATATAAATAATAAATATATAAATAATATATATATATAAATCATAAATATATATATATATATACATAATAATAATAATAAATATAATAATAATAAATAATAATAATACTACTACTACTAATAATAAGAATAATAATATATATATGTACACATAATATATATATATATATGTACACATAATATACATATGTATACATATATATCCATAATATATATATGTTTATATTTATATTGTATATGTATAGTACGTGTATTTGGATTAATTGACCATGTGTATGTTCTTAACTTCTTTTTTTTCTCAGATCTGCTGGGTCAGGCTTCTGATCCTCAAGGGCCCTCCTGGCTCGGGCAAGGTGCAGCCCTGGGGAAGGTGCTGTCATGGACCAAACAACAAAGGATGAGAAACCTTGGTATATATATATATTACATATATATATATACATACATGTATATATGTATAATTTGTTGATGTCCGAAAATGGGGATGAGCGGAGAAGACGAAGAATGCGGATTAAATCATGAAGACATCATAACCAGCAGACGCCGGGATTGCACCTGCAAAGATGTGGACATCACTTGTGCAAAATGTTTGAAAACATGATGCTCTCCGATCATCACACATGGCTAGCTGGGAAATACAGCATGGAAATCTGACATAGACGTTTGTAAATGGACATTTCAATGAGAAATTGTTCCACAAATTGGGGTCAAAGGATTGCTTCAAGGGAAGATTTGCCGGAATCCAACCAACCATGATCTTCACGGGAAAAGCCATGGTTTCCGGTTAAGATTTTCCCAACAAAACCTATCCAGTGATGGGGGGATTTTCCAACCATCTTTGGTTGAGCCAGCCATCCATATGGGTATACCGTATACCCCAAAATGGCGTTCAATAGCCGAGCAGTACTTAGTACTTGTTGAACAAAAGCTGGGAAGAAGGCTCAATAGTTTTATTTTACTTCAATATTCTGGATCAACGCAGATGGTTGATGCACATGCGCTGCATGGGGTCAGAGCCTTTTGGGGTCACAGCCGTCCAAGAATTCAGGCTGCTGGGCCCTATGTGCTCATGCCGCATGCCGTTGAACACCACATCTACCTGTAAGAAGTACTATATTCCCCCCTGCGTTCTTATCTGGATAGTTGTGTCAAAAATAATTTCTCTATCTCTCTCTCTATCTATCAATCTATCAATCTATCTATCTATCGATCTATCTATCAATCTATCGATCTATCTATTCTGTATATAGATCATAAATCACAGAACAAATGAGACCAGGAAGCGAATGGACTTTCATAGTCTATGGCTGGCTCAACCAAAGATGGTTGGAAAATCCCCCCATCACTGGATAGGTTTTGTTGTTGGAAAATCTTAACCGGAAACCATGGCTTTTCCCGTGAAGATCGTGGTCTCCCCATCCATGTTCACATGAATGGAGGGCCTAGCGTCGGCCGGAAACACTGGGGATACCTCGGATCACAGCAGCAAATACCTTTGTTTAAGCACGTTGTATTGATCAAACCTATTTAATATTGTTACATATGATTATCAATGTTTTTTATATAGCAACCCCCCAAAAAATAAACATAGAAAAGTAACATCCTACTGTTTAGAGTGCTAAATTACGTTTTGGGGAAATTACATGAACTTACTGTATAGTTACCTCACTGTGAAGTCATTGGATTCATGATTGGTAAGGGGACTAATCCCCAACTAAATCTAATTTACCTATATTGACGGATTTTTATAGCCATTATTCATAATTATTAGCAATTATTAACTATTCAACCCAGAAATGCATCATGAAATCCCATCATTCTCTGGGATTTCCTATCATTTTCCCATGATTTTTCCGTCATGATCTCAATCAACCCCAAGCTGCGAGGCTTCAGTCCTTCACGCCCTTTGCAGTGAGGGCTTCGAACTGGTGCTTCGGGGGAGTGAAACAATAGGGATAGAATATGGGATAGAATATGGGATATAAATGGATATACCATCTGGTTATTTGTTACAATTTGCCATGGAAAATCACCATGCTTTTAATAGGTGAACCATCTATAAATGGGCCATTTTCCATGGCTATGTTAAATCACCAGAGGGTAATATAGGGACACTTGATCATTCGGGATGCCATAAACCCCAACCAATGGGATAGTGGGAGTCAATGGGTGTTAGATCGGGAGTCAAAACGACTTGATCCACCAAACTGACCATACATTGGGATATAAATTCAATAGGAAAACTTACACTTGGGGGACATCAAAGTGATATAACAAACTTGGGAAAACCAACGAAAATACAAGAGGCATACAATGGGATAAAACTGATACAACCAACTTGACATGATCTTTGGGTGTGTCCAGTTTTCAGCGGATATATGTTACCATAGTTACATTTTCACCAAGTCTAATCTTATGGGGATTGGAATCCGATGGTATCCAGAACATCATCCGAACTGCACCCCCAAGTCCCCAAGTATGGGTAACCCGCAGACAAACTTGGTGAGATCTGGGCATTCAACCGATAAAAGTGATGCTACTTCTGATGGTGATGTGTTTTAATGCGGCCTGCAACTGAACGCTTGAAACAAAAAATTGGCCAGGCAGCCTAAATACGGCATTCACCAAACATATCACGAGGAGGACTTTTGAGATCATTTATGAGGAATCTACCCGCATAGGCCTTCATTCAGGTGACGCGTTGATGTTTATTTTATTCTCTATATTTCACCATGCATTTCACCATGGTGACTGTGGTGTGTGTTTGATATGAACAGGAAGGGATTATGTCATATTATATCACTCATATCAAGTCCTACTATATTGTTAGTAAATTCATGGGACAATTCCAACTTTTCACTGGTGAAAGTGCCCATCTGGAGCCCTGCAATTTCCGAAGAATCATGATGCACCAGTATACTGGTTGGTGGTTTGGAACATGAAATTTATGACTTTCCATATCTTGGGAATGTCATCATCCCAACTGGCGAAGTCATATTTTTCAGAGGTTTTTTTTTAACCACCAACCAGTATAGTATAGTGGGATTACCATCTGGTTATTTAACATAGCCATGGAAAATCACCATTTTTAATAGGCAAACCATCTATAAATGGGCCATTTTCCATGGCTATGTTAAAAAACCAGAGGGTATTACGGTATTACGATTATCAACTACTGTAGTGATTCATCAGATTTAATCATTGCTTCGTATCACAAAGGCCAGTGACTTGTGAAGCACAGAACTGATATGACAAAAAAGGGGAGCTTCATGCGAGCTGCTAAACGTACCTTGGTTGATTGGTTATTAGTTCTGGACTTATAGGCTTATAGTATGAATTTACCATAGTATGGGAAAAACGTCTTCAACCAAGTCGTATTTCATGAGATGGGAAAACTGACTCTTTTTTTTGGCTCAGCTGACTTCAGGCGGCAAAAACATCACAAAGAATGGTCAGATAATGGTCGGAGAATCATCTAATGGGAAGAGAATGGAATATCCATTGATCTATGATGGAATACCATGCAATACCATGATGGAATATCCATGAAATATTAAGACATAATGAGATATTCATGGAATACTCATGGATCTATGACAATGGAATACTCAGAACAATGGATTTTCTTAATATTCATGGATGATCCATTCCATGATGGTAATAGATTAGTATTGATTTTGAATATTAATGGAAGATTAATACTTATCTATTCTTGATCCATGAATAATAATTGGGTATAATATGGTATAATATCATCTATTCTATATATATATCTATGTATGTATATATATATATACATACATATACATATACATATAAATATACATATACATATACATATATACATATAAATATACATATACATATACATATACATTTACATATACACATATATACATATATACATATATACATATATACATATATACATATATACATATATACATATGTGTATATATATAGACATACATACACACATATCTATATTTATACATATACATACATACACATATACATGCATGCATGCATGCATGCATCCATCCATCCATCCATCCATCCATCCATCCATCCACACATATGTATCAATTGTATCAATTATAATTACTATATCATCTATTATCCTTTATTTATTAATACTCATCTATTACCATCTATTATTGATACTCAAATATTTTATGGATAATCATTATGATGCTTATGTATTGTACAATATTATGATATCATAAAATATATAAGATAATCATTATCATATATTATGATATCATTACGATATTGTTGATTATTCTAAGATGGTTGAACTCTTCATCGAGCATCATGGCTCCTGACGCCGCCAGGTTGAATGGACCTCTGCTTCCAGGAAGGGGCGACAGGTCGGTCGAACCAACCACTCCCGCGGCGCCCTTTTCGGCAGGGCGGCTTCGTGGTGAAGCTTTGGATGTATAGGTTAGTAATATTCATTTTTGACAACGGTTTGAGCACTACAGTAAAGTTTTAACTGGAATTTGTGGTTAGTAACTTGTACTCGTAGTAACTTGTCATGATATCTGTTGATATACATATATTTTATGGCCATATATGGCCATTTGTGGCCATATATCTTATATATATATTGATAATGATAATATATGATATATCTTATCATTTTTGGCCATGACTTTTTGATCCAATGGGATAATTATCTGTTGCGAGGTTATCTAAGATTGACCGTGATAAGTAACCTCTGGTAAACGTTTACATAACTATGGAAAATCACCATTTTTATTGGGTAAATCAACTATTTCAATGGCCATTTTCAATAGCTATGTTTGTTTACCAGAGGGTCACCTTTAATATCTTTAATATATATATAATTAGTGAGAACATGACGCTAATTCCACCTTTTGTGCAGGTTTGGGACCTGGGAAGGTATGGGGATATCTGTGGGGAGATTGCCGAACCGATGGCCATAAGATATCGTCACATGGTTAGCCTCCCGTAAACTAATATAGCCATGGTATAGATGGCACATTTTTTGATTATTTACCTGGTAAACATGGTGAAATCCATAGCTATGCTAGTTTACCAGAGGGTATCAAGCATCGGCTTTGGGTCAACACATTTGACAACTGATATATGACCTGTCCATCGACCACTTGCACAAGTAGTGCTCACTATTGGGAAAAGATGAGGAACACGTCAATTTGATGAAACGGATAGGGCTCAAGTAGTGCTTCAATATGCTTCATTGGGACAAGTGATCTACTAATCAATTTCATGAAACAGAGTTTGGATTGAGTAGACCAACGTCCAGAACTGGATGGTGGTTTGGAACATTTTTTATTGTTCCATATATTGGGAATAATCATCCCAACTGACTAATATTTTTCAGAGGGGTTGAAACCACCAACCAGAGAAACATGACTAAAAATGGGTACCATCCACAAATCTCATGAGAGAGTGACAGATTCCCACAAGTGATGTGATCCAACTAGTTTGATCTATCTACCATAAACCCCAGCTAAGCTAGATGCAAACCAACTTAGCCAACTAGGGGGGCCCCACTTTTCTGGCACCATGTCGAATCTGAACTCGTGGGTGATGAAGATTTATATGTTTTGTGTGGCTTTGAAATTATGACCTCTGCAGCCACAGATGTGTATGTGTTGTTTTTGCTGGTCAAACCTGATCTTGAGACATACCCAAATAATACAAACAACGGTGGAGGATATCTGAGGTAGCTGAGCCCCACACCCCAAAAGTGTCGGGGGTCCTTAATTTGGGTACAACGATATGTGAGTGGGCTTGAGTTTCGTAGTTGATAAAAATCGGGTCCCATTGGGTTTGGTGATAAAAAAAAGGGTCCCATCGGATGTTGTTTCTCATGTATATACCCTCTGGTAAACTAACATAACTATGGGAAACCACCATTTTTAATGGGAAAATCAACTATAAATGACAATTTTCAATAGCTATGTTAAATTACCAGAGGGTATATGTTGATTGTGCACCATTTGTATTCGATGCATCCAGATGACGAATATGATCCACGAATCCTACCCAAAATGTCCTCCATGAAATGAAATCCAGCCGCCTTGTCCTCTGCTTCAGCTGTCGTGCACATCTTTGTAAGAAAACAAAACAGACCCTGGCAACATTCGCTTGTATTTGCTTTATGGTCCCTAGCATATATATATAATATATGTATATGTATATGAGGTTGAAAGTTGTTAGTCACTTCAAGTTGCTTTGGTAGTTGACCAAGAGTTGAGGAGCTATAGGAGGCAGTTTATTTTGGTCCAGGAAGTCTCCATTCGGAGCACGTGAGTTATAAGAGGTTAAAAGCCACCAACCCAGGAGGGTACCTCCATATGGATGGTTTTTATTTCATGGAAAATCCGATCTAGAAATGGATGATGACAGGGGGTACCCCCATGTCAGGAAACATCCATGGATGTTTTCAGTGTTTAGCTCCCGGAAGCTCCTGAAAACAGACATTTTCTGGGATAGCAATCCCCTAAACTGCCGGCCAGCCGTGCCCTTTTAGCCATGAGCCATGACCAAGCAACCCAGCTTCCCAGGAGGAGCAAAGTGGGGGGCATGCCCGCCCGCCCAAGGTGTTCCCACAGATTGTGGTCATATATTTTTGGTTTGAAAATAGGGTATCCCCTTGTTTGATGGTTCATTGTCATTCTCCCTGTTAAAATTGCCATGTATTCTTTGGACACAACAACATTTCAGACAGATTTATTTATTTTTTTCGTACTCATCATCCAACTTTAGGGGTACCCAATTTTGCACCATACCCAGTTAGAAACTTGTCGTTTGGCCAGCCATTTGTTTGATGGCTCCAAATCTCCAACGGTCGCTTGGATGTCAGGTCTACGTATGTGCACAATGTGTGTACTAAATATATATATATACACATTAATTTACAGTATATATATTATCATATGTATGTTTGTTACATCTACTACCCCTATGTGCAGAATATACATATATATATATATATAGTTCATATACACATATATTTACATATATGTAGAAGAGATAACGTTTGTGACACCACCATTCTTTGGAAATGCCTGCAGCCATTGTACCGGAGATTGGCTTGTTGCCAGGAAGCGTCCCGTCCATTTTTGGGTGTCATTTTTGAGGCTTCCGGAGAATGGGGAAAGATATACTCCTACAGAATGGCCTGATATCATGAACTAAGGGAAGGTTCCAACCCAAACCAGCGGAAAAATGGAGAATCATGAGGGAAGACGCCATTATTTGACAAACTTTTTAAAAAACTGGATACTGTACATCTACGGGAATTCATGCAGCCCAGTAGTTGGTCCTTTTGTGTTTAGCATGGTCGTCTTTTGGGCTCGATTTTTTCACTCTCCCCAGATCTTTTCCCAACTGCAGTCCCTGAACTGAGAAGCTGAAGCTGATAAGTGAATTACATCCCTGGTCATCCCAGTTCTTTCACGCCAATGCCCCTTTACAACGATGGTTGTACCGTTACCCTCTGGTAATTTGAGGGGTATACCCTCTATGAAGGGCCATTGTCCATAGCTATGATATGTAGTTTACCAGAGGGATTTCCCTTAAAAAGGCGTACAAACCCCGTTCACCACGGGCTTGCAGCCTTTACAGCAGGACTGGATTTGGTGGCCCAGCTGAACCTCTTTGGGCCGCGCGATTTTCTCCTACAACTGGAGGAGGAGCACCCGGAGGTTCAAGGCTGGGAAGTGAGGATGGAACGGTTGGGATTTCAACAGTGAACCATACCCTCTGGTAAACATACAAAAACGATGGAAAATCCACTATTTTTCATGGGTAAATCCACTATTTCAATGGGCATTTTCAATAGCTTTTTGTATGTTTACCAGAGGATAGTTTGAGAGATGAGTCAGCTATCCGAAACGGAGGAGTTTGATTTATGAAATAATATGAAATAATATGAAATAATATGAAATAATATGAAATAACCATGCATAACCATCAACTTGGAGATTTGCATGAACGGACATTGGAAAAGATGGCTCCTCTGGCTCCTCTCACATAGTTTCTGGTGGAGGTCCATTTCAACTTTTTTTGGGGCGAAGAGATATTATGTATATATAATTATATATATATATGTATATGTATATGTAGTTATATAAATAAAATTGTATATATATATATAATTAAATTAGATTATATTATTCTCGTACATGAAGATTCATGTTGTTTGGATCTTCAATGCGCTTGGTTTCCACATGTTTACTGGAACAAATGCTGTAGACTATTGTGGATTGATATTATATATGTATAGACAGAGAGTACACGCCTGCAATTTGTTTCAAACGGGTTAGGAGTAACAAAAATCATTTCAAAATAGCCGAACTCTATTTGTCTTTTTTCAGGTTAGTGAACTATGACTAATTATGACTAATTTTAATGGCTATTATATGCATTTCCTCATGTTTCACCAGAATATCACCAGCTGCAGGAGCTCGAAGTCTTCGTTCGCAGTCGGAGGTGGCTGAAAGGGGGACTTCACCCTTGTTTTACTAAGAGATAAGCATAGAATAAGCATAGAATAACTGGTTGGTGGTTTGGAACATTTTTATTTTTTTCTTATATTGGGAATAATGGGAATAATCATCCCAACTGACTTTGTCTTATTTTTCAGAGGGGTTGAATCGAAACCACCAACCAGATTTTTAGTGGATAAAACATGAGGGAAGACACCCTGTTAAATAAATCTTGGCGAATGGTTTCCACATCCCAACATCATGGCCCCGGAGAGAAACTCCGCAGTTGCCAACCTTGGACCCTTGGACCTTCAAGGAACATTTCAGAAAGGCGAACTGGAGAATCACCATGCTATTTTCTTGGTAAATCATCAAAAAACATCTATTTCTATGGGCCATTTTCCATGGCTATGTTAAATAACCAGAGGGTAACTTTAGATTTCAAAACTAATTGCATGTTCTACACCCATTTAAACATAACCAAGTTGGCGATGGTTTGCCATTCTTTTTGACCCATCGGAAGTTGGGGTTGTCTCAGACTTCAGACCCCTTCCAATTCTGTGGTTGTATTATCACAGTAGCTGTTCCATACAAGATGCGATTTTCGGTATCCAACCCATTTTCCGATACACCAAAATATGTTGGTTGTATATCCCATCGATATCCCCATCAAATATACCATTCTATCCTCAATTATATAATTATATATATATGTTTATATTATGTATATATTATATTATATTTTGAATATTATATATTATATATCATATATCATATATTATATATTTATTATATATTATATATTTATTACATACTATATATTGATTATATATTATATATTATTTATATATTATATATGATATATGATATATTATATATTATATATTATACATTATATATTATATATTATATATCATATATTATATATTATATTATATATATCCCACTTTGTTACATTTTGTTGGTCTAATGCCCATTTAATTACCATACATCTTCCATTTCTCATGGTTAAATCACCATTTGTTGGTTAACTCCCCACTTTCTGTGGTTTAATCCGTGGTTGATCCATCTCTGGCAGCGTGGAGGAAGGAACTGGTTTTGCCGCCCTTGGCGCGAAGGTACCAGGCTGGCGAAGGGTGCCGGTTTTCGGATGACGACTGGTCACTGGGGCTAGCTATTTGGATCTTCCAAAACCATATATATATATGTATATGTATGTATATATATACCCTCGGGGCCCCAGGTTTCCGCAAGGGGTGGGGGGGTGGGGTGGGGCATGTTAACGTCATATTCATGGTACGTTGATGGGAGGGGTGGGGTGGGGCATGTTAACGTCATGTTCATGGTACGTTTATGGGAGGGGTGGGGTGGGGCATGTTAACGTCATATTCATGTTACGTTGATGGTGGGGTGGGCATGTTAACGTCCATGGGTTGATGGGGGTGGGGTGGGGCATGTTAACGTCATGTTCATGGTACGTTGATGGGAGGGGTGGAGTGGGGCATGTTAACGTCATATTCATGTTACGTTGATGGGAGGGGTGGGGTGGGGCATGTTAACGTCATGTTCATGGTACGTTGATGGGTGGGGTGGGGTGGGGCATGTTAACGTCATGTTCAATAAAAAACCAGGTTTGCACACTGTCTTGACAGCCTTGAAAAAAATCAGGGAACTGTCTATGTCAAGCTTGCAGCCCGCCAGCAAAGTTTGAGATCGAGCGCCGTGGAAACTTTGAAAAAGAACATGTTGCAGCAGGGTGTTGACGTTGAAACAACAACGAGCAAAAAAAAGGGTAACTATCAACATGTCCCGTTTCATGCTTTAAAAAAACAAATGCCAATAAAAAACACCGGCCCTTAATATTACACCACGAGCGGCAGTAAAACCAGTACTTTTCCGGTTAAAAAAAACAACGACTTTCATGAAATGTGCTATTTCGTGTGGGAAAACAAGAAAATCAGAAACTTTGAAAAAGAACATGTTGCAGCAGGCTGATGAAGTTGAAGCAACAACGAGGAAAAAAAAGGCTGACTATCAACATGTGCCGTTTCATGCTAACGTTAAAATTCACTGCAAATACCAATAAAAAAAGACACCTCTTCATATTACCCCACGTGCCGCAGTAAAAAATGACAATTCCGGATTTAAAAAAACAAAGAAATTCATGAAAAGTGGTATTTCGTGTGGGAAAACATGAAAATCACAACTGACATGTACTGTGGATAACATGTCAGAACATGCAACTTGCGCGGGCCTAAAAATTTAGCTCCGTAAAATTGTCATTAAAGAATGAAAAAGAAGAATGTGCAAAATCCACATTTCCCTGTGGCGAAACAGTGGTTTTTGACATATGGATCAATGAGAACCAAGATACTCTGCGGAAACCTAGGGCCCCGAGTATATATATATATATACACACTGTATATAGACATGTTATTTTGTTGGGGTGCCCTTCCTATCGGGGCACCAGGAGTTGCTGAATAGCTCGCTGCGACGCTTCAACTTGTCCGTGGAAGCGCTGCCCTCCCTCGAAGGCTGCGGAGGGGGAGCTGTGGAAACCATTGGTTTTCCAGGGAAAACCATGGGAAAATGGTGATTGAACCAACAAAAAATGGTGAATTTCTAGGATTTCACCAGGAAAAATGAGGATTTTCTAGGGTTTGACCAGCAAAAATGTGGATTTCATGGTGATTGAACCCACAAAAATAGTGTCATGGGGATTTAAATGATTTAACCAACAGAACAATGTGGAACATGTGGATTGGAACCATGCAAACATGGAGATGAATGTGGATTTAACCAGCGAAAATGGTGCTAGTTCATGGGATATAATTAATGGGGATAACTCTCAACCCAGCCACCAGGTGGTACCCCAGGTCGCTGGCTAAATTGGTTTCTAAACGAGGTTAACGATGGGGTTGATGGTCAATATATCGAATTACGTAGTTGTTTCGGCGTATCGACCAACAAACACAACTGGGGGGCACCATTTTGTGGAGTAAGTGTGATGCAAAATTCAGGGTAAGTTTCATGCATTTTACAAACAGGGTAAGTCTTGTTTTTTTTTCCAGGAGGGATTTAGCAGCGGGGCACCACTTCGTCTCTTTGAATATAGATTAACTGGGTTTGTCTGAAATTAGGCTACCCCATTCTATCTATTGGCTCGTCATCACTATCCATATTGTACTTGCTATTTGGTGGGTATACCCCATTTTGATAAATCAAATCATATCAAAATGATTCAACCCTTATAGCATTCCTATGATCATTGAGTTGCTTTAAGGGAACATCAGCACCGGAACTCCCAATAAGATGATTTTCCCATGGAACCAATCCGTTGAAGCCAACGCAAGACATACCAATAAGATCAATATCTGGTTGGTGGTTAATGATGGTTAATGATGGTTAATGATGGTTAATAATGTTAATAATGTTAATAATGTTAATAATGTTAATAATGGTTAATAATGGTTAATAAATGTTAATAAATGTTAATAAATGTTAATAATATCTGGTTGGTGGTTTGGAACATTTTTTCCATAATATATGGCTTGTCATCCTCCCCATTGACGAACTCCATCATTTTTCAAGATGTTTTTTTACCACCAACCAGCAATAAATCAATCTACATCACCATTTCTCATGGTTGAATCACCTTAAACCAATCCATTGAACCATATTGAGCCCAATGAATCCCATCATTATCCCATCATTCCTATCATGTCCAGGCTGGAGCCATACACGATGGAAGGTTGTGAACAGTGAGGTGCCGCACATGAAACGGAAAAAATCAACCCTGAAAGAAACGGGAGTATAAAACCAATCAATAATCGTATGGGACTATCATGTTCATATGACTCATATAAATAAAATGTATATATATATATAATACAGTGTATATATATATATGAATTGTTTAATACCAACTGTGGGAATATACCATATAAGCTATGGTCTCTAACGAAATATGATTGTTTGAATTCATTGACATATATGAATTTAAACTATTATTATGATATGATATCAATATATTGAACATATTCAAATATAAAACATTATAAACCCGGCAGTTTAATATTCATATTTGAATCGTATTGACATCCTTAGTACCCATGGTTCTTGGACGTCCAGTGTACAAACCAAATGGGAAAACTTGGGAATCTGACCATGGATTTGCTAAGTTGGTGATGTTTTATTGCATCCATGCAGTTATGGCCCAACTCAAAGTTATAAATGGAATGAAATAACTCCTATAACTAAGGCTACGTATATATATATATATATCATCTGGTTGGTGGTTTGGAACATTTTTTATTTCCCACAATATATGGGATAATCCTTCCTAAATGATTTTCATATTTTTCAAGATGGTTAAAACCACCAACCAGTATATCATGAAATAAGCCTATATATAACTGTTAGTTGGGCACTGTGGTAAATCCACCACCAGACATGTTGAATCGGGAACGTGTTGAAAAATGTTTGTGACTACGTCTAAGCAATTTTCAAGTGTTTGATGTGGAAGTTGTAACCAAAAAGTGCAGCATGACGTGTGGCCACAAGGTGAACGATGTAGCTCTGCTTTTTCGATAGATATTTGGATTGTTTGAAAATAGAAATCCCATGGGTCCAAATTTCTTTTATTTGGATTTGTTAAAGAAACCTCAGTTGTTTTGTAACATAATTTTTTCTCTATGTGTTTTTTCGCCTAGAATTATGTTAATTACCCTTTTAATCCCTGGCAATTAGTTCAACATAGCTATTGAACATTGCCATTTATAGTTGATTGACCTATTAGAAATGGTGATTTTCAATAGCAATGTAGGTTTACCAGAGGGTATACCACTGACATAGCTAGTTTTTTATAGGAACATGATGAAGGGCCATGGTATTTTGGGGTACATCAACTCTCAGAGAAACCCAGAAACCGATATGTATCGTCTTTGAGTGTCTGATCTCCTATTTTCCACTCAATATGGTTGCCTGATGTTGGTTCATCATGTTAAAGTTGTTGTTTGAAGTGGGTGTGTGTGTGTCTCATTTTCAGACACCCACATGAATTGATTGATATGGGACTATGGGAGTATGGGTCAATAGTGTATTAATATGATTATACATGATTATAGATAGATATATATTCCCTAAACTATCTAAACTTAGATTCGTGACCCATAGCTTTAATAATCCCTTCCCGCCGAAAAAAAAACACTGCCCAGTGTCACCATGGTGGAATGTCGGAGGATGAAACCACGAATGGGACAAAAAAGGCCATGGGGATGTGACTAATAGAGTGAGGATGGCATTACATATATCCTGGTTGGTGGTTTGGAACATGAATTTTATGACTTTCCATAAATTTCCATATTTTGAGAATAATCATCCCAACTGACTACATACCCTCTGGGAATTTAACATAGCTATTAAAAATGGCCATAGAAATAGTGAGTTTTCCATAGTTTTCCCAACTACAAAATGGTGGATCTTTCCATAGTTTTTTGTAAACGTTTACCAGAGGGTATATCTCACTATCCCGTCAGAATACACCATCAACTTTTGCACGCTCGGCTTGCTGGATAGTGTTGGAAGACTCAGGGCAGGTGCTGTCAATGAGTAAGATGACACAGGGCTGTTTCGGGTTCTTGTTTGCCATGAAAGACTTCAAACAATGGAATGGTTCAATGGTGGCACGGTCACCACAACGCTTGTCAGCAGTGCCACAATCAGCAGAATCCCTGACACAAGTGCCATTACTGTGAACTAAGCCACTTAGCGACTACTAACTGGGATGAAGCACCAAGTAGGGCCTCCGGGGGCCGTACAACATGGCATCTAGACCAGAGTCTTTTGTTCCCCACACATAAACCACAGCAACATCAGGGCCTGAGTGCTGAATAGTGCCACAACTGTTGGCAGCAAAGCTGAGCCACATTTGTGGTGTCACCCCAGTTCGTGGATAAACCCTACTTATCCCATTCAGAAAACCAGTGTTTTTTTCAACGTACTGAAAGTGGGATGAACCACCAAGCTACTCCGCCGTTGCGGCCCCGGGCCGTTGGAAAATTCCAACGAGGAGCCGCCCCGACTTCCGAAGCTGAGCCTGGCGGAGACCTGGCGCCGTTTTAGAATTTTTGTGTGAATTGCAGCAATGAAACTGGAGGTAAGTATTCCCTCTGGTAAACTAACCTAGCTATTAAAAATAGCCATTTATAGTTGATTTACCCATTAATGGTGATTTTCCATAGCTATGTGAAATTACCAGAGGATGGATACAGTATATGTACTGTACATGTATCGTTTATATGAGCTCAGGTGGGGTTGTTTTATGTATGTGTGTTTTGTCCATGCGATTTGAAATCATGGACAAGAATTAAAGAGGCCTGACATATAAGAGTGTGCCTTAGAAGTGAGGGGTTGAACATCACTTCCAATTCGCCAAGTTTTCATAGGTTTGGAACTATAAACATATTGGAACCAAAGACACACAATTCCATTGATTCCCCGACCTGAAATGTAGTATTTTTGGTGAGAAAAGTCCCTCCAACAGTCCAAGTTCCCCATTTATTTTGGGAAGCAACCATTTTATCTACTCATTTGGTACCACTTTCTATCTGGTTATTTAACACTTCGCCATGGAAAATCACCATGCTATTAATGGGTAAACCTCTATTTCTAGGGCCATTTACCATGGCGAACTGTTAGTCATAGCCAGAGGGTACTTGATGTCAAAAATGTCCATCTTTGGTGGTTACGATATCATCTGTATTTTTTGGCAGGTTGTTGTATTCCCATGTTGGGTGTGACAATGTCCTGTTTTGCTGCTTGTACCATTGCGTTTCCGTTTCGCCATATCATATCATTTTTTCAGATTTTGCTGGTTATGTCCCCACATATTCTTATGTGTTTGTTGGCTTTATCAAACAACTAGGGACTAGCACTGCTCGGTTTCAGTTTCGCTTGTCGCCTGGAGCAAGGTGCTGGGCCACTGATTGCCCAACAATTTACGGGTTGATTTGGTCAGGGCGACTCTTCACCTGCTATCATTGGGGGTAACATGGCTATGGATCAATACCTATTAATACCGATTTTAGGGGGTTATTCACATCCATAAATCCCAGCTATTTTGATGTGAACTACAGGGGTACTATTGGTTTTGACACACTGCCACATGTTGTAACCTTTGGGGAGGATTTTTCGCCGTGACATGATCCACTTCGTTCACCGAGGAATTTCTGCGTTTGCAACGTCGCCTGGTGGCCCCACCAGGCGGGATGGTTATGGATGTTATGGTCAAAGCCCTCATTTGTTGGGATAGGTACCTTTGTGTTCCGTTGCTGGTTAGCCCCATCTATAAGGTAAAAAAATCCTCCATTATTTGCATGAAGTCAGTGATATAAGGTTAAAATCCTATGAGCAATCTTTTCAACCAGATAGAACTTGGACCATTATATCCCTATGATGTTAGTCGTTTGTAGTGCTATATAAGGCTATAAGAATATAAGCACCATTTTGTTGAGTAAATCCACCATTGCATCCCTCTTTGTAGAGTGGCAATCCCAGAATGCGCTGAGACTTTGGCAAAATTTGGGGATGTACATCCTACAACAATGATCCTACCAGGATTTTCAATGGCATCCAGATTTTGTAGACATCCCATTGACTTCCATTGTGTATATATATATCACATCCCAATAAATCACCTTTTGTTGCTTAAATCACCATTTAAGTCACCTATCCCATGAATACCCTCTGGTAAACTAACATAACTATGGAAAATCACTATTTTTGATGGGAACATCAACTATAAATGGCCATTTTCAATAGCTATTTTGACATAACCAGAGGGTATCCCATGAATATCATCAGATATCCCATTAGAGTATCCCAGTTTTTTAGATGAATTTCCGATCAACGAATCCCTTTTTTGTTGGCCCAGCCACAGAGTCAAAGTGACTCGGTGCCAGGTGCCTTTTCCAGTGGTGAGGCGAAGGTTCGTATGAAGAAATGCCACTGGAATCACTGGGATGTACTAAAGAGATGGATACAATATTATATAATGGGATTTTTTCACCAACAAGACATGCACAAAAAATTGACCAAGCAAAAGATGCCAAAAGTGACTTGGTGTAGGATTTCCTCATTGAAAACGTGAGTTTAACATGATTTAACACGAAATCATGGGATATAATGGGACTATATAAATGTAACACGGATGGGATTTAAAAGCAACAAGTTGGGATGTGACAAACAAAACACATGATTTCACCAACACCAAATCTAAAGGATATAATCCATTATATCAACAGAGATGGGAAAAACATGGAGAAACCCTTTTGTGACCCGTAGGCCCATGGGAGACGAAACTCAGACGGATGTTGTCAGATGCTGTCTTATAGATGATGACTTTGAAAGTCAGTGCATTGCTCAGGGAGTTTCTCTGAAAATGGGGTAGTTGAGTAAAAAACACCTTGGATGGCTGAAACATGTTGAAAGCCTATAAATAATGGGATGTTTACCACATATCAACTGGTGCAGGATTTCGCAACCATCCACTGTTCTTAAATGGTTGCTGGTGACTCTCCCAAAACGGTCATGTTAGAGTCCCAACCCACGGAACAAAGTTACTGGCTGGTGCTGTGTTTTTTTTTCAGAAGGGGGCTGCATCACAACAAATATACACCAGTGTTCATATATATATATATGACTTTTATATCTATTTGCGGTATGATTTTGTAGTATATGTATGTAGATCTATTGTTGAATATATCACAATAATAATAGTATTTGTTTTTTTTAAACAATGATAGATAGATAGATATTTAATATAATATAGTATAATAAGATATTATATGATATAATATGATATATATTAGTATAATACAATATAAGAAAACCACATGAAATATAATATACTACACATATAAATATAATACATTCTAATTTAAACTTAATGTAATTTAATATATAACATATAATAACATATAATAACATATAATAGCATATAATATAAATATAATATAAATATAATATAAATATAATATAAATAAAAGATAAATGTAATAAAAATATAATATAATAATGTATAATGTAATATACTAAAACTATAATACATTTTCAATTTAATATCATATAATAACATATAATGTAATATGATTTAAATATACCTATAATATAGTATCATAACATATAATATAAATATAATATATAATATATAATATGAATATAATATAAATATAATATAAATATAATATAATTATAATATAAATATAAGATAAATGTAATAAACATATAATGAAATTTTATATAATATAATATGATTTAAATTAGTATGATATAATATGAATTAAGTTAGTATAATATAATTTCATAGAGTTTGCTGATGATACAGTCTTAATCGCAAGGACGAGGGAACACATGCAGGACCTCTTGTGGTACGTGCAGGATGAAGCTTCCAAATACAATTTACATCTGAACATGGATAAAACTAAACTAGTTCTATACAACAGTGACGCTTCCATTGCCTTTGGAGATGGCAGCTTAGTTCAGCAAGTATCCTCGATTGTATATTTAGGGGGGCTTATTGACCAAACTGGTAAACCTGGTCCAGAAGTTCGGCGACGGATAGGTGAAGCTGGGCAGGTATTCCAGAAATTAAAGCGTGTTTGGAGACATGCAGGGCTATCGGTTCGTAAAAAGCTTCGCATCTACAAGGCATGCGTTGTGTCCAAACTCATTTATAACCTCTCCACACTATGGCTCACCGACTCCCAGTTAAATCATGTTGATTCCTTCCACTTTAGATGTTTACGAGCTATTGCTAACATCCCTACTGCTTGGGGTGCCATGCAACAAGGTATAACCAGGGTCAGCAACCATGAAGTTCGAATGCAGTTGCGTGAAACGCTGTTGAGTCAAGAAATACGGCTCCACCAGTTAAAATTGCTACTGTAGGGCACATCTTGAGACCCGCATTGTGTCCTACAACCGGTTCCTTGAACCGCAAATCCTGGGGGGCCCTTTTCGGGCTGGCGTAAGAAGAGGCAAATGGACCGAAAACGTTCTGGCCTTGGCCATGACCATTTTTAATGACCATTTCTTTGAAGGGGCAGGCGGGCAAAGAAACATTAAAGATAAAATTATAGAGGTGGCCGCAAACCGGGGGTGGTGGTTTCAAGTAGTTGGCGCTGTTAGATTTAGGTGGCGTCGCCTACGGGAGGGCCACGAGAACGGCCGCGCCCATGGCAGTTAAAAAAAAGTAATATAATTTATTATAACATAATATAATATAATATAATATAATATAATATATATATATATATATTCAATATAATATCATTTAACTTAATATAATATAACATAAGTTTATTTAGTATGATCTAATATAATGAAATATGATATAATATAGATATAAAATAATGCACATTGAATATAATGTCGTATAATAACATATACTATAATATAAATATACGATAATATAATATAATATCATATAATGTGAATATCATATAACACCATATACATATCATATAATATAAGATGATATAAAATAATATATATATATACATGTGATTCAAGTAGTATACCTAGCCCCACCATTTCACCATTACTGCTATAGGCTATAATCTTTACATCCTCGGGAGGCAGCTCTATCGGAGGAGGAGATTCTTCAGAGGAGCGGATGTCTAGACTGGCTTGGATGGCATTAAAAGGGACTCAGCCAATAAAGACATGTTTGGCCACCCTCTGGTAAACAAACATAGCAATTGAAAATGGTGATTCATAGTGGATTTACCCATTAAACATGGTGATTTTCCATAGTTTTTTGTATGTTTACCAGAGGGTAAGTACCACTTAGGATTGAAAGATCAGGTCGAATCATGTTAAATCAGCATGTTTTTTCAATTTGAAGCTGTTTCTTTGGTGAACATTGATTGACAACATAACAATATCAAGCAGCATCAATACGCTCCGAACCCGGAAAACATTAGATGAAACAGGAGAGCATTGTCAAAATGTGGTGGTTTGAGACGGGTAACCAAGCTACTAAAGCCCATAGCCGTCGGGTTTCAGACTGAGTTCGCCAAAGCTCAGTGTAAGTTTTGGTGCTTGTAATTGCCCCCATGATCATGTCCTATGAGTCAAGAATCAGTACTGAAACGTGGATGGCCAGATGTATATATGGTGATTGATCTAAAGGTCCGTGTCAAGAATTGTGAATGTAAAGAGTTTAGATCAATTACCGTCTACGAATCCTAAATATGACCAGCTCAATGGTGGTTCCTACAGGGTTTAGATTTTGACCCATGCGCAGATCCTTTGGTATCATCCCATCTCATTGTTTGCATTGCTCATTTTTCTTAGTTCATGTTAGTTCTGCCAGTCCTACATATATATATATATATCCCATATCATGATTTGTTCATATATATATATACACTATATATATATATACTATATATATATATATACTATATATATGTATTATACATGTATTGACCCAGTTTGTTGAACACCTCTTTGAGCTGTTTAAAACCCAATCTTAACTAGTGCTAAGGTCTTAAGTGTGAACCCAATTCTTGGTGGTAAAAACTTCACGTTGGTGGATCATCCCACATTGCTGATTTGTGCTGGTTGAATCACCATATTCTGAGGGTTGAAACTGCATTTTTGATGGTTAAATCAAGTTAGGTCCCAATGTTTGAGGATAAAATCCCCTGAAATCAGTTAAATCTCAAGTGTTTCATATGGTTAAACAGTTTAAACCATGTTAAACCATGTAATTTATCCGGCTGAAATCCACATTTCCATGGATCATTCAGAAGCATCCCAGTTCTTGGTCGCAGGCTGCGCTTGCGTCTCTGGGCGGCCTTGCTGTGCTGCACGGCCGCGGAGCGGGCGGTGCAGGCAGCTAAAAAAAAATCCCCATTTTTTTATCGATCCTATATGGATCTAGTTATATCTTCTTAGATCTTCTTAGGAAGTCCCTATATATAGACCCTATATGGATCCAGTCATATCTTAGGAAGTATGGCTGGGGGTTGATTTCGGCCGTACCTTCCCATCTGTGGCAGAATCGAGCCTTGCAGGCAGACACCTTGATGGCCCCGGCAGTGGAACCGGTGGAACCAGCTGAGCCGGACGGGAAACCTAGCATTTGATGACAATGATGGTATATTTCCTGGGTCAATCGATTGGTTACTCACTAGTACTTGAATCCTTTGAATCTTTAGGATTTCAATGGTAAGTTGTACTAAGCAGCTATTTTTTTGTTGCAGGTATCTAAGATTCACCACGTTTCAGGGGATAGAATACGATGGCTTGTAAACCTAATAATGGATCAATAAACCATCCATGGTGGATCACCATTTTTATGGCTTGTAAAGACCATCCCCAAATGTTAGGTTCATTATTGGGTTGCCCACAGTATTGGGATAGAACATATTGGCATAGAATTGGGATTTTAGTGGGATTCCTGAGATATATCACCAACAATATGAGCTTTGGGATCTGAAACTTATTTTGTTTATTCGGAAAACATGATGACCGAATGGATTTTAGGGGCACCCTGTTTTCAGACGAGCGGCTATTTATTTGGAGATGCATGTACATAGCTGCATGTAGTTGCCTTTTGAACAAGAACAAGTAGTAAGAAAAGCAAAACACAACCCAGTACAAAGTCGATAGATAGTAATATCGACTATATGTTTGTTGTTTTCTTTGCCCTTGGTGAATGACAATTTGGGGATAGTTTTGGCCTTGCTTGAATTCCTGACCCCTGAGAAACCCCCGAAAATTCCTGGAATCTGGTGGACAATGCATTTTTTCGGGTGATGTGATTGCTTTACCAAATGATGTTACTTGTCTGGTTGGTGGTTTGGAACATTTTTGTTATTTTCCGGGGATAATCCTTCCCAACTGAATAATATTTTTCAGGATGGTTAAAACCACCAACCAGTTGTCTTTGGATGGTTGAAATTCTGTAGTGCTGTTTGATGGTTTCGTTTCGTTTCAACCCTATTGATGATGAAATCCTGAGTTTTGATGGTTAAAACTACGTAAAACACCATGGTTTTTGGATTTGCAACATACCCTCTGGTAAACATACCAAAAAACGATGGAAAGATCCATCATGTCAAAATGTTGGGGAAATCCACGAGTTCGACTGGGCCATGGCTTCAATAGCAAACTGTTGACATAACCAGAGGGTAAACCTCCATTTTCCTATGGTTTTCCTATGGTTTATCAGAGGGTATGTAACAAATAACCAGAGGGTACCAGCACTTCATCTCTCCATGCTCCAAGATGACGACTCGCAGGACAGCGACCGGAAAGTTGCACCAGTTCTGGCGAAGGAGGAGGCGACCGAAAGTTGGTCCCTTTGGGAGCGCAGCCGCAGCCGAGATCTTCGATGGGCTTACAGGATGGTGCCCCCAAGATAGCTAAGTTGAGATATTTTTGTGGCTGAATTCTATGATTTGTGGTAGATATATATAACATGATATAACTATATAGTTAATGGGGGTTATAAACCAAATTATAACTGGGGGGACCATCCTGTACAAACTGTACAAACCCACTTATTTCGGGCGCGGCATTGTACCAATTCCATCCAATTCCTACAGATCCAACATATCCAACTGTACCTTCTTAGGAAATATCGCTGGGGTATGATTTGAAGTTTAGGTCGTTATCTGTACCTTCTCAAGAAGTGTTTGGATCGATAGGGAAGAATAGATGATATGAGATGTTGTGGGGATTACTGGGATTTCAATAAACAAACAGGAATATCCGGCATATCTCAATGTGGGATTTTTTCCGGAGATACCATGGGGTGTTGGGAACTGGGGAATCTCGGAATCTTCCCTTGTTGGTTGAAGATTTTTTGTGCAACACTCTCCAATATACCCTCTGGTTATAGTGAGTTTTCCCATCAAAAATGGTGATTTTCCATAGCTACGTTAAATTACCAGAGGATACCCTCTGGTTATGACTAACATAGCCATGGAAAATCCCTGAAATAAATGGAGGTTTCAAGCTGGGAAAATATGGGAAAATCATCTATTTCTATGTGCCATCTATACCATGGCTATGTTAGTCATAACCAGATGGTAATTCTTGTTCACTATCACACTTCATTATGGGAATCCCACAATACCTCTATATTATATACCTCTAATCCACTAGCGATCAAATTGTTGGTGGCGCCTGTGATGCGAAGTTCCTTGATTGAGAATATACTACTTGCAACTGGATTAATTAGGACTGTTACCTCACCTAAAATGGTGGTAAGAAAGGGAATTCATCTCAAAACAACTTAATTCTGATCCAGGGATGGGTCAAAGTCGGGGTACCAAAAGACACATTTGATCATTGCGCGTTTAGCTTATTCACCCATGATTGGAATCAATCACTCTGACCCATGTCAGCCCATGTCTTACAAGAAGGACCCCCCCGCAGAAAGTTGGGGTCATAAGCCCATCCACATGTAGATATATGAATGATATTAATGAACCTTAAATCCAATCGGTACCCAATCTAAAAACCAACAACTTTGGCTATCATAAACCAGTTTTATAAATACCATGAAATCACCATTTTTGCTAGATAGTTATTTATACCATGAAATCACACATTTTTGCTAAACTAGAACTTGGCTATCACAATGTTTTATAAATACTTGGCTATCATCACCATTTTTCCTGGTTTTTCTGTTCTCTTTCGCCAAGAATCCCTGGCCTCGAGGCCGTGAAGGAAGAAGCGCCCGCCGAGTCCGCCGAGCCCAGCACCGAGCATCCGGCGCCGTCGCTGGTCAAGGCACGGGCGTACCATGGCGTACCCTAAGTCGTAGCTGGTGCCCATGGATGGTGATAATCCTGGGGTTTAATGGGATTTTATGGTGATTTAATGGGATTTTATGGTGATTTAATGGGATTTTATGGTGGTTTACTGGGATCTAATGGGATTTACCCTCTGGTAAACGTTTACTAAAAACTATGGAAAGATCCACCATTTTCTAGTTGGGAAAATCCACTATTTCGACTGGGCCATTTTCAATAGCTATGTTAAATTACCAGATGGTAATATGTGTCATATATATATATATGTCATATATAATGTGGGCAAAACAATATGTTTAAAAAAACATTTTTGATGGTTTATACCATCCATTTATGGTGATTTTGGGGTGATCGATTATTGTGTTAACCACATTATTGAGATCATTTTGTAATTTTGTTTGGTTTTGACGCATCCCGGTATTAATTACCTTTTTGATATGTTCATAATATTCATACTAATATAATCCTTAATGATTACTGTATCATGTTCCCTTTGTATATATATATCCATATATTATATAGATGTCGATGTTTCATTGCCAGGGTAAGGGAGATGGGCCGTATTTAACCTCTGACGGATGTAGAACACCCATCATTTGTAGATCATTTTCCTAGGGGTTTCCCCTAGGGAAACAATGGGTTTTCCACATCTTTTTTAGTTGACCCCAGGGTACCTGATCTTGCCATCCATAGCCTCTTCCAATTCAACCTTGCACAGATGAAGGTCAGGGTATGGCAGGTTAGGCCAAGTCATGTTAGGATGAAGCAATTCCCCCGAACAATCCACCTGGTCAACCGTCAGTTCCGGTGGTCTGGCTCCGTCAGTTCTGAGTTCTGCTCAAACTGGCTGATGCCCAATCCCGAAGTACTGGGGAGAATCCGATTGTCCAAAATGATTGTCAGGAACAAAAGGAGTCATGTTACAGAGAAGGTTATGCTGATATGTTCAAGAATGAAGTTGCGGGTTTATAACCTATATAACTAGGGTTTATAGTAAAAATAATACATCCATAGTTCATAGGGTTATATAATAGGTGTTATATGTACATACCAGCACGTTCAAAGGGGTGCCTAATGAATTTCAAAAATTGAGATTCTTAAGGGGTGCCTAATGGGCACCCCTTAGCGTTCATGGAGATGGCACACCAGAAAATGATGAGTTCCAACCCAAAATCTTCCAATCCCACCCGCGTGGCATCTGTGGTGCACCCGACTTCATTTTTGGCGAGAAGAAATGCATGCGTTTCTTTTCGCGTCGGATGTGAAATGTTCCCAATGTTCAAGAAAACTAGTCAAAATCGACACGAAATGACACGCGCAGGGGTTGTTCAAAAAGCACCCGACACGTTTCTAAGGGGTGCTTATTAGACACCCGTTTGCCTAAGGGGTGCTTATTGGACACCCCCTACCGACCGACACGACACGGCAGTGACACGCAATGACACGCATGTTTTTCTTGATTTCTCCAAAAAAACTCGTGACCACATGACCGACACGACACGGCAATGACACGAAATGACACGCATTTCTGGAAGCAAACGTGGGGAAATCGAAGAAAAATGCACATATTACTATGAATACTTCATTACTTGTTAGTTTGGAACCTTAAACATTAAGGGGTGCCTAATGGTTACCCCCCTTAAGGGGTGCCTAATTGAGACCCGTTTGTACATCCTGGTATATATATATATAACATATATATATGTATATCCAAAATATAATCGTGGGTTCACCACATTACGAAATGGTTTATTCCATGCGAGTTGAAAGGCTATGGCTTGAAGCTCAGTGCACAGGTGGAAAGGACCACCAGTGATGTGGGCCAAGAAATCAAGGCCACGGGCGCCGGACAGCAGACGTACGGGACGAGGTGTTGGTACGGTACGGTATGGGTCGATTCATCCAACCGTGTTGAGGATGGTCTAGCTCGGTTTGCAAAAGCAACAGCTTGGTGGTTTCATATGGTGTATTTGCAAACGTGATTGCGTGGGAAGAAGAAGATGATGATGATGATGATGATGAGGATGAGGATTTTGATGAGGATTTTGATGAGGATTTTGATGAGGATTTTGATGCACATGTTCATGATCATGGCTTTCATCTTGCAACGCACAGCTTAGCAACCTGTGCGTTGAATGTTACATCACCATCATCATCATCATCATCATCATCACCATCATCATCATCACCATCATCATGAAGACTTCCTTGAACATTAAGTTTAACAGGGGCGGGGATTTGATGATTCCCTAGAAACTCTTTTGACACATTTTTGAGGTTCTCTTGAACCAATATTCTTTGAAACCCCCCAACAAATGTGGGCAAACCGAGGGGTTTGTAATCATATTGTTTTGTATATATTACATACTGCATATATATATATATATGTGTATTATTCACTAATATGTGTATACATGTACAATATATAGTTACTTAAATATATACATACATCTGTGATATATGTGCATACACTGATATTTCGACTCCCATGCTCCATGATGGTTTCCTCATACCATGTAAGAAACTCAAAGGAGAGACCATGTCGCAGTAACCGCTGCAGTTGGAAAGAACCACCAGCGACGTCGACCGAGAGGTGCAGTAGTTTTGTGAGCTGGTTCACTGGCTGACCTGCCCCATGAACGATGATTATTTCATGATTGGAAGCAACCATAAAGCATTTTCCTTCGGGAAACGGTAGAACTACACAATTATGACCCGTACCGATAGAGTAACAGATATGGACATGAATGCATGTAGGTTACTGGTATTGATTGTTGCGTCGCTCTATATTTCACCAACGTTCCAGACCCATGTTTTTTGTTTTTTCCATTTCATTGTAATTTAAGTGCGAATGTGACAGGTTCTCCCCATCTAATTTGTTTATGTCTTTGATCAATTTCTGATTTTGTTGTTTTCCTCCCCACTTGACTTCCCTCTAGTAATTTTCCACTTTGCTACAAAACAAAATGCCCATTTATATATAGATTTACCAACACAGCAAACTGTTAGTTGACCGAAGTCCTAATGTTGGTTCAAGGGACAATCTACAGGAAAGCCTCAACGAACCCATCCAGGTAGTGCAAACGATTTCCGGAAGATGACGTAGCAAAGAGATCACCTTTTTGTCCACACACGTCTTTGCTAATGTGTTTGGTATCAACCATGAAGTTTGTTAGGGGTACCCAATTTTGACCCATACCCAAGATATATTTTTTACCATGATATACCCATATCATATGGATGTGGAATATATGATATATTTGGATAGTATAACAAACATTTGGACCCCCAATATATGATCTTTGAAGGACCCCCGATGTATGGCCGTATTCACGGAGAACGTATGGGACAATTATGATTAGCCAGTGGATGGAATGGGGTTTTCCCAAAAACAACAAAGAAAGTCCATCTGTTGGTGCAAACATTAAAACACAAGCCGTTTCGTAAAAGGTGGGCCCCCAGTCATAAGTTGGTTTATACCATAAAACTCTAGTTATATTATGGTAGATTCCCCAACCCAACCCAACAGTTAAGCACAACAAATCATTTGGGGCTAAACAACTCAAGTCTATATGGAAGTTTCCATTTAACTGGGGGGTACCCCCAGTCATCATCCATTTTATCATCTGGTTATTTAACATAGCGAACTGGAAAATCCCTGAAATAAATGGAGGTTTGTGTCGCTGGGGCAATCATCAATGGGCCATGGCTTAATCCATGGCTTCCATAGCTATGTTGAATCAGAGGGTAAATCATGTTAAGAGGATGGTCCATGGAAAATGTCCCATCAAAATTATTCGCATGTCCCATAAAATGTCCCATGTTATTTCATGGATGGTTGTTAACATGATGGTTACCATCTGGTAATTTAACATAGCTATTGAAAATGGCCATTGAAATAGTGGATTTTCCCATTGAAAATGGGTGGATCTTTCCATAGCTACGTTAAATTACCAGAGGCTCTGGTTATGACTAACATAGCCATGGAAAATCCCTGAAATAAATGGAGGTTTAATCATTTTCAAAGGATGGTCCATGAAATAAGCCTTCCATGTTGGGGTAGACGTCCCTGGACGTCCTGGACGTTGGCCTCAAAAGGCCTTGAAGGGTGAGCTTTTTGAGAACCACTCGCATGGCCTTCAGGCGCTGGCACATGTTTTCGTTATCGTTGCTTAGGGGGAATTCGCCCAATATAGAAAACTGGTTGGTGGTTTGGAACTGTATACGGTTGGTGGTTAATGATGGTTAATGATGGTTAATAATGTTAATAATGGTTAATAAATGTTAATAATATACTGGTTGCTGGTTTCGAACATGAATTTTATGTTCCATAACATATGGGATTATCCTCCCCATTGACTTTCATATATGTTTCAAGATGGTTAAAACCACCAACCAGAAAATATCGCCGAACTTTTCAGGTTGGTGAATTATTAATTTACCCAGATGGTTAGTTAAACAGGGGTTGGTAACGTCCCATGTCCCATGTTGACGATTTTGAGCGTCACTTTCAAGTTCTTATTGGATATTGTAAACATGTCCCAATAGTTGGGTGATGTCCACAGACATTTACCGAGCCCTGAAAAATGGTGTTGGGTATTTATATAACCAAGCAACATGGGGGTTTAACATGGTTTAATTAATGAAATATGGTGTTAAAGTGGGATATAGTGGGATGTATACAACCAACTTGAGATGTTATTGGTGTTTTTTCCTGGAAATAGAGCATATTGGTTCACCCCTTGTTTCCACTTTTTAAAATTAACAAACTTATGTGCATGTCGGTCAAAAACAAAACAGCTCCTGAAATCGGTAGGTAAACATCCGCACATAGTTGACCCCTCTGGTAATTCCACATTGCTAGCTGGGACAGAACTCAATGGCGGTTTGTAGCTGGGAAATTCATCGAACTAAATGTATTTTTTTTTGCAGCAAGCCATGTTTGATTACCAGAGGGTATTTGATTTGTTTTTTTGGATGTTCAGCAGGATGGCTTTCACCCATACTGTTTGTTGTTTCAAAAGAAAAGTAGGACGGCTTCCAGTTGTGGGGGGCCATATCCTAACTTACGAAGGTAAAATCACCATAGGAATAGGATAAAATAGGATAATTCGCAATGTCGCTAGAAAAATAACCACCGTCAACCATGATTAACCTTTCAGGTACCGGTTTGGACTTGTTTCTTTTCGTTGTACAGATCTTGCCAGACCAAAATGGCCGTGCCCCGGACACTGGAGGAGCTTGTGCTCAATCAACCCAAGGAGGACTCGCTGGGCGGGGGTGTTTCCCAAGTAAATCAACTAAATAGTAATGTCAGTTACACTAAATAGTAATTTAGTTTGGGCGGGGGTGAAATTAATGTCAGTTGATAGGAATGAGGAGGGGTACCTATTTGATTAAGAGTAATTAATTTAGACCATTTTAGACATATCAAGACAACTATCTTGACTTATTTTGGTGGTAACCCCCAAGAGATTTGTCGGGGTTGACATTGAGCAGTGAGCCAGGAAAACCCAAACATTTGGGAATTGAAATGATCAAACCTGGATTCATGAACAATGGAAACTGGTTTAAATCCAAACATCTGGGATTTGGGGATGGGTTCATGCCGATGGTACCATATTTAAGAGGTGATGGCTATGAGTCAAACCCCTGGTGCTCTAGGTACCATAACTGGTTGGTGGTGACTGGAACCAAGGAATTTTGAATGACTTTCCATTCAGTTGGGAATGGAATTTCATCATCCCAACTGACGAACTCACTCCATCATTTTTCAGAGGGGTAGCTGGCTCAACCACCAACCAGATATCGTTGTATAGCTTCACCATGTTTCACCAATTTTCAGAGGGGTTGAAATTACATGAAATTACCATTTTAAAATATCATGTTATAAATTCATAGGTTTTGACCCATTCCCATATTGGAACACACGGCCCTCCATGCCAGGAGAAATCCGAAGTTCCAGCGAAGGCATGGCAGCGTGGTTGGCATCCGGAAACACTTGGGGCCCTGCATGGCAGTGTTCGGGTGATCTCTCTCTATCTATATATACACTGTATAACTGCATATGCATAATATATATATATATATATATTGACATAAGTACCATGCAGATATACACAGATTGATATATAATATTCACATGTTGATGTGCACTATACAAAGCTATTCGGCTGTTCAAAGTGTTTTTTCGAAGTTGAAAAGTGGCCATTGCAAGGCTGTCGCCTCAAAGCATGGTGTTGAATGATTCATGCATGCAACCAGTAATTGCTGCTGTGGTAGTTTTCAAAAAAAGTCACCACCAAACTGTTTTAAAATGTCTCAAAATATATTTGCATACACGCATCAGTGTCAACATCAAGTTGTTTCCGTGCCATATTTTCCTACAGAATTTCTCCAGTCCTTCATCGCAAACTTGTGACTTGGTTTGGCGGTTTGACATCCTCCAATTACATCTGCCTCTTGGTGATGACCGCGTCGATCATGGACTGGATTCCAAGCCACCAAGCCAAATCAAAAAAGTAATCATTGGTTCACTGACTGTTTCGCACCTCGATCTATTCCAGTCACCAGACAGAATTTGTTCATGGCACTTGTGCCATCTTGATCGAATCTGGGAAACATATGGAAACGTATGGCCACATGTCACAACTCGCTATACTTAGCTAACATGAATCGATGTATCGATGTAAATCAGGTAATTGACTTAGCATAGCTAAGTCACATTTAACCAAGCTATACTTAGCATCTGGTTATGACTAACATAGCGAACTGGACAATCCCTGAAATCAATGGAGGTTTCTGTCGCTGGGAAATTCATCTGTTTCAAACGGCGGTCTTTCCCAGGCGGAACAGGAGGCCTTCGCCGGTATCAAGGCAAAGCTGCTGTTGGTTCGTTAACTTGGTAACCAACAAACGTGGAGAAAACAGTTGGAAAAAATATTAAAAAAATAAGAGTTATTAACATTTATTAACCAACTATTTCTTCCACAGTTATGATAGTTATGAACCAACTTAAATAAGAAACGGTACTGTTTTTCTGGGCCAGCGAAATCCTGCACCACCTTGGAGGGTTGTTTCACATGTTGAAACCCAACAAGAATGGGATAAACCGCCGATCAAATGGTACAGTTTTTTTTTCAAACATACCCTCTGGTCAACTAACATAGCTATTGGTAAACTAACATAGCTATTGGTAAACTAACATAGCTATTGAACATGTCCCATTATCAATGATTTACTGATTTACCAATTCAAAGTGGTGATTTTCATTGATTTTCCATATGCTAATGTTTGTTGGAGGGTGTAGTATTTTCAGGGAATCAAAAGTTGCGGATATTTTGATTCATGGAGATGCTGAGAGCACTGTTTTTACCTACAACTCATGCGTTCGAACATTTTTTTGGGTACAATAACTTTACCCTCTGGTAAACTAACGTAACTATGGAAAATCACCATTTTTAATGGGAAAACTCACTATAAATGCCCATTTTCAATAGCTTTTTGTATGTTTACCAGAGGGTATATTTGCAAAGTGGTGCCCCCCAGTTTAATGTTTGTTGAAGTATAAATCACATAAATCCCATGTGCCAATTTAAGATATCTCTACCAGGTACCATAGATCCGAGCCTAGCTTGAAACCAACCTAATTCGCACACTTTGGAACAATATGGAACACCACTTTGTAGAGTTTCACCAAGAAACATTATGACTTCACTATGGATCTATATGGGTGTGGTACCATCCCAGTGTTTCCTTTAAGAACCGCAGTTTCACGTGTTTACGAACGTTCTGTTCAGACACACCATGACAGAGCGTTATATTTCACCAAGACAGTGGCATTTAAACCAACTTAAAATGAATAGCCTCTGGTAAACTAACATATGGACAATTACCATCAATTACCATCAATTACCATTCTTAGTAGGTAAATCATCAAACTTGGGGACTTTCCATAGCGCCATGGTAGTTGGACCGCGGCTACAAGGTACACCAGAAACTGAGGAGGTCACAAAATATCATCTCAAGTTGGTTGTTATTCCTATTGTATGCTTCTTGCATCACCATCAAATGTCCCATCATACACATTAAATCATATTACTATGTATATATGTATGCGTGAACGAACTCGCTGCCTGGTCACTGGAATGATGGTTTGTTGATTTCGATAGGGGAACATATCCTCAAAAGGCTTTATTTCAGGTTGTGAATGATCATAATTCATCCGGATGATGATGATCCAAATTGACTAGTATATTGTGAATGGGTTGAAAGCACCAATGAGTGACTAACCAGTGTGTGTATATATACATATATGTATACATACAAGGTGATGGCCGAGTTTGTTAGCGCAGTTGACTTGAACCTCAACAAAAAACAACAAAAACTAGGGCGGGTTTATATGGATGTTTATGGCAAATATAAATCAGTATAAAGTATCTATAAAGTCTATAAAGTATGTATATATATATATACATAACATGTTTGAAGACATATGATACCCTCTGGTAAACTAACATAGCTATTGAAAATGGTTATTTATAGTGGATTTTCCCATTAAAAATGGTGATTTTCCATTGAAAATGGTTAAATTACCAGAGGGTACGGTACCGCCAGGCTGAAACTGGAGCTCCGGAGCCGCTGGAGCCGCCGGAGCCGTTGGAGCCATGGGTGAAGGCAGGAAAGCCTCGTGGCCTGGTATTTTCCTTGGAAAAGCCTAGGAAAAGATAGGAAAAACCATTGGATATGGGGAAAAAACATGAAAAAACCACTATAAATGGAGGTTTATAATGGTTTATAGCTGGGAAACTCATGAAACATGATGATTTTTCTTGGGATTTATTGGGATTTGTTGGGTTCAATGGCTTGGTTTGATGAGAAATCCCCTATAAATCTATGAAGGGTTTATAGCTGGGAAACTCATTGAACTAAATGATGGATACCATGGGAAACGAACCAAGTTTTGGATGATCATTGAATTGTTCGAAGGGCAAATCTTGACCGGAAACCATGGTTACCCTCTGGTAAACATACAAAAAACGATGGAAAGATCCACCATTTTCAATGGGTAAATCCACTATAAATGGGCCATGTTCAATAGCTATGTTAAATTTACCAGAGGGTATTTTTGCCATCAAATTGGTTTGGATTTCCTGTAAATTTTCCCTTCAACCAATATGACGATCCCATGAAAACCAAGCAATACGTAGATGATCATATGCCAGTCATGTTCAAAACCTCTGTTGGTTGATGATTAGTGCGGGGATAGTACCCATCAATATTAATTGATATTGTTTTTTTGGATTTTCAGAATCCATGAACGGGGAATCCAACCGGTTTTCGAGCGGACGTTCAATTGGTCTTCTTGGATTTGCTGATTTGCTGGTGATTTCTGGATTTTTCAACTGGTTATCCACCATTCAATCTGCGCAAATTTCATCACGACCTCACTGTTCTCCCTCATTAGAATCATGGTCAGTAAGGGGAATCATCCCCAAATGGCCTTAATTCAGGTTAGTGAACTATTATAATTTTCCCAGATGGTTGATAAATATTGTACCCTCCAGTAAATTAACATAGACCCTGCCAGAGAGGGTTGGTGAAATATAATAATTTACCCAGATTCAATGGATTGCTTTAAGGGAAAATCGTTTCCGGACTTTCCAAAGATTTTCCGAAATGAAGATCATGGGGTTGTCCTGTAAATCTTCCATGTGGAGGAATCTATATACGGGGAATAATTTGTATTTTTTATTGTCCCCTTAAGTCCAACATGTTTGTTGAGCCAAACATGTTTTGCTGCGTATGAGTCCTGTTTTTCCTCCTCCAACCAGGTTCTCACCTACAAGTTGTAAGCTACCTATGGCATTATAGGACCCCCCCAAAAAAGATACAAACTCTGTCCAAGATGTTACAAATTATATTTACCTCATATTCCCAGCTTTCTCACTTTTCCATCTTTGTTCAATGGGAATATACATATTGTGGGGATATTCCCTTACATAGGCATGAAAAATAGGCCTTATATATGGTAGGTACCTCCAATGGCCATTGAATTTTGCAGTTGTGCATGATATCTCCATGTTCGCTTGGTCATGGAAATGATAGACTGCTTTCTGGTTGGTCTAGTTCGTGTTGTGGTGAATGACCACATTGTTGTTCTTTCATTTGCTGTTAAATGTGACGTCAATTTAAATTAAGTATAGTTTATAGAGATTCAGATTCAATTCCAGTTACGTTGATCTGAATATATAAACTATTAAACTACACGATTAGACACTCCATTGACCTATGAAAAATTGATATGTTATGATATATTACCCCAGAAGTATAGTTTGTTTCCTTCATGGTTCATAACTACACACATAGATGATGCATGTTTTAAGATTAGATGGATAAACACCATTCAACCCACTATTCTTTTTGCTTTTAGACGAGAATCATAACAAATCACCAAGAGTACTTTATCCACTTTCCCGAACCCAACATGTGTTCGAACAAATGCAAATATAAATATTTATTCATGAAATTTGAGTCAAAACAATCAATCTACGTTTTTCCCAAACCCTACAAAAAAAGATCGAGTTTCATAAAATCTTACTGAAATAGTGCTATATATTTTTGTTTATTTTTGTACAAGGAGAGACACTGGCTATTATGTACAGGATGGTGCCCCCCAGTTATAAGTTGGTTTATAGACCCCATTATATAACTATGGTTATATCTATACCATAAACCATAGTTATGGGAGTTATAAACCAACTTAGCTAACTATGGGGACACCACCTTGTACCAGGTAGCTATCCCATTACTTTCACCCCCTTTCGTTGCAACGTTTGCTCCGCCAGGTACGCCAGGAACCCGACGAACCTGAGCACCAGGAGACCCCAGGGCTGGTGCGTTGCGGCTCAGCACGGGGAGCCCAGAAGGGTCCTGAAGGATCCTTAAGGGGTCCCAGTGTGGCAGCAGTTGGGGTGGGAGTTTGGCCGAAATGAGGATTGAACGCCATTTCATCATCAACGTTTGCAAGTCTTGAATTTTTTAAAGAGGATTTCATCCACAAAAAATAGAGGTTAAACCAGTCGCTATTGGTTTGCACAGAAGTAGGGTATACCTCCGAATTGCAATTGCTTTTGAGGAACATGATGATAAGCCCTAAGCTCGTTGATTTTTAGTGGTAAACCTCTACATTTGTTGTTGGCAAGATAGCAGTATACCCCCCAAAAAATAAACTCATTGGGGGTATCATCTCCAACAATCTAAAACTGGTTGGTGGTTTGGAAGATTTTTATTTTCCATTTCATATATGGGATGTCATCCTTCCCATTGACTTTCATATTTTTCAGACGGGTAGGCTCAACCAGCAACCAGAAAGGGGATGTTTACGGTCAGGCCATTGGGCCCTGCACCGGTTCCAAGAGTTTTGGACCCCCATTTGAAAAAAAAGCGATGTAGCAAAGTGAAAAGGATGAACTGCAATTTGGATATGGTTCGGAACTATGACAAACCCCAAATCATAGAATTTGACTCAGGGCGAATTCATTGTTTGTTTTTGATTTATAGATATTTACAGAATTGATATGACAGTGAGACTTTAATAACCCCCCAAGTCGAGCATTGTTGGGTGTGATGTATGTTTTTGGGTTTACCATAAATAACAGTAATTGTATTGAGGAACTTCACGAACAAGAATCGGGATACCAACAAAAGAACATGAGCTTTCGTGAGTTAATGTATAATAGTATAATAGTTGTTTCTGTTGGAGACGTTAACGACCAGGGTTAAATTTGACGTTTGCACTTACATGTCATTCCACTTACATGTCATTTGCATTGTACAGTTTACAGTGACAATTTATACTTACCGCTGGCTGCGCCCGTAAGAGGCTGGGCATTTATGCACTTGCTTATCCCGTTTTTTTTTCTCCCTTGCCCTCTATGTTTCTTCTTGTCTACTCTGGGGTGGGGTGGGTTGGGGTAACAACGTCCTGGCACTTGCACACCTACTTGATGCTACCTCACGAGAAGTTCTTTGCAAATTTAGGATATGTTACATATATTATAGATTTCCTTGATGCTACGTCATAAGAATTTCTCTTGAGTTGATGCTGCGTCATAAGAACTTCTCTTGTAGTTATGCAGCAACTTCAAGCTACATTACATACATATATATATATATATACATATATATATATATGTATTACTTGATGCTACGTCAGAAGAACTTCTTTGCATTGTCACCACAACATCATGCTACGTTGTATTTGTATTTATATGTGTCTAACCGGATGCTATTGCATCATATTTGCTTTTGCACTGCTACTTTAACTTCATGTTCCTTGATAACTTGAATTTCTCACTATTCTTCTATTCCTTTGGAAAGAGGCTCAGTTGCCAAATGAGCAAACCGTCCTGGTCAGCAGCAGCAGCTATCCCCGAGGCCACACTGCTGAAAGAGGAACCTGATGCACTGGAGGCAGTTGCGCTCAGAAGGGCTGGAAGAGGAACCTGTTGGCTGGGGGGTTCAAAACACTTATTGTTTTTTTAGCCATACAGAAGTTACAGAAGGAATGTTTGATATATATATATATATAATGTATATGTTTTTCTATATATCCCATACAGATGGCTAATATTTCTATATATGTTTGGGATCAGTTAAAACCACCAAACAGTAATTTTTCTTCTGAGGATTTTGCCCACGGAACCTCAACACGAATCTACAGCCGAGCCGAAAAAACAATTGAGTTCTGGGATAGTCAAGCTGTTAAGCCCGCTGAAAAATCTACTTAGATACATGTCAGTTTATTTTAAACATAGTAATTTATAGTAATATAGCTGTTATTCCAGATATCTGATATAAGTGACTTTGTGATGTGGGTTGGACAGTCAGTCAAGGTCACCTGTAACCTTCGTATCCTTTTTTCAAGTCACATGAAAACAGGACCATGTTCGGGTTTGATTCTCAGATTCTGGCGAGGTCTGCAAGACATTTCTGGGTCCAAACTGTCATATGATTTTTGTTGTCTCACGGGATGTGTCCCGGAAATCGGAACAAAAAAAGTAGCCCTGGGGACCAAGGCAAAACTCGAGCCTCAGAACGAGGACCCGAAGCGGTTGGGATTTTACCAATGATTAGCCAGCATGTTGATACTGTGTGGAGGAACTCCTGCACCAGTTTTCGTAGATGGTAAACATCCCATTGTAGTCCCATGATTTACAGTGTTTAAACAAGTTCCCAATAGTTACCCTGGTGCAGGATTTTGCAGCCACAGTATCAACATATATCAACCAACTTTTTCTGGATTTCAAGGGGCAAAGCATGATAACATATGATAAAATCTGATAAAACTATGGTGATCTGATTGGTGGTTTGGAACATTTTTATGACTTTCCATATATTGGGAATAGTAACCCCAACTGACTTTCATATTTTTCAGAGGGATTGAAACCACCAACCAGTGATGTATGGTGATATCACCAAGAACTGATGGGTATGCTTTGGGAATGCCAAGTAAATGCGGATCTTGACGGATTGTTTTGTGGCTCTTTTGGAATCCATGAGACCTGCTGAGGTCCTGAAGTCGGACTTCTTTCCTCTGTGCGTGCGTGGTTTCCTTTTGTTTGTCAATATTTGTTGTGTTCCCTGCTACATTGGGTGAAAAGCCAGGCGAGGGAAAGGAAAAAAAAGTGATAGCTCTCCTTCATAGCCATCCAGCACATCGTTGCACACTACCTCATGATTTCATGGGGGTGTATGATGGGTCAAAACATGTCAAAACCTCACAAAACTTAGGCTTACAAATAACTTAGATGGATCGGATTGGCATTTAATATGATGATGTGATTATATAGTGAAACGCAAGTCTGTTTATCTCAATATTTGATTGATACATCACATACAGTATCGTATGACAACGGATCATTGATCATGTTTTTTTTATCTTAAGTTTATGTACCCTTTGGCTTTGGTAAACTGACACAGCTATGGAAAATGGCCAGTTATAGTTGATTTACCAGTTCATAAACATCATATTTTTCATGGCTATGACAGTTTACCAGAGGGTATCTCAGATTCGTTGAGCCAAGAAAAACCACGCCATTTCAAATCGCCAGGACATCATGAGTCCTGAAGAGCAGGTGGGCGTGGGAGGGGCTGGGGAATTGAGCAACTGGTTTACCCTCTGGTAAATGTTTACATAACTATGGAAAATCACAATTTTTCATGGGTAAATCCACTATAAATGGCCATTTTCAATAGCTATGTCTATGTTAGTTTACCAGAGGGTAAGTACAAAGTGGAGCCCCTAGTTCTTTGAAATTGTTGCAATGGTTGATTGAATTTGAACCATTCAACTGTAGAGATATTCACCACAAGTCCTATTTATTGGCGTTCAAACAATTTACCTGTCTCGGGGGGGCCACAACGTATGGTTGACAAGCAAACATGATAGTCTCAGCATGTTTGAGTAGCATTTTTATTGTGGGTTTATATACAGTAAGTCAATCAACAAGAAGGACAGTTTCACCAGCAAAGCTTTGCATATCGATGGAACCCGGGGAAACTTTCAATCACAATTGCTGGAAAGCAATAGGCAGGGGCGGAAAAGAATATGCCCCAATTGGGAACTTGTTGAAACAAACACGTTGGTTTTGATGTGAGTGGTTAAGTCTTGTCACGCCATGGTATGGCATGGCGCATGATATGGTGTGGTATGTTACGAGGTATTATGGTATGTTATTTTATGTTGTGTTGCGTTATGTCATGTTATGTTATATTATATGTCTTATATATGGGATATAAGGGGATGTAATTATGGTATGTTATGTTTTGGAGATGATTAAAATGAATGATTAAACATCAAACACAGTCAAGTTGAGAGTGAGTGGACACAGCTAGTTTCTGGTTTGTGAATTCTTCCGATTCCACTAGAGTACTCGTGGTTCAGAAGTCCCAGAAAACATCAAAATATCCGCTGAGGACTTTTTTTCCTGGTGGGGTTCAGAAGAGTCAGAGTCAAGAAGTTGAGAAGGGATGAGAAGAGGTGTGAGGTGAGGAAGAGTTGAGAAAAGAGTTTTTCAAAGAGTTCAGGTTCGGGGTTTGTTTCACGAGTTTTGCGAAAGGTGAGTTTTGGGTTTTTCGAAATGTCGAGGCCTCGAGAGGATGAGATGTCAAGAGAAACTATTTGATTTATAGTGATTCAATGGGATATTAATGGGATATTAATGGGATTACCATCTGATTTTCATGGGTTTTATAGTGATTTATAGTGATTCAATGGGATATTAATGGGATATTAATTGGATTACCATCTGATTTTCATGGGTTTTATAGTGATTTATAGTGATTCAATGGGATATTAATGGGATATTCATGGGATTACCATCTGATTTTTATGGGTTTTATAGTGATTTATAGTGATTCAATGGGATATTAATGGGATATTCATGGGATTACCATCTGATTTTCATGGGTTTTATAGTGATTTATAGTGATTTAATGGGATCCCTGGGTTGGTGACATCAGCGTAATTCCTAGAGGGAACACTTTTCCCGCACCAACCACCAGGGACACATCCTGCTGGAAATTTCTGCCACCCACCTTGTGCGGGTGACTTCTAACTGGAACTGCAAGCCGCAATTTGTTCCAGCTACAGTTGGGATTTATAACCGGATTTAACCATCCAAAGTTGAGATTTGATAGATATTTGGTAGATATTTGGTACCATCTGGTTATGACTAACATAGCCATGGAAAATCTCAACCATAAATGGAGGTTGATGTCGCTGGGAAAAATCATCTATTTCGATTGGGGCCATCTATGTCATGGCTATGTTAGTCATAATCAGATGGTAAATCCCATTAAAATATCATTATTCACCATTGTTAACCCATTGTTAAACCATGGTTAAACCATTAAATCACCATTAAATCCCATTAGATCCCATTAGATCCCATTAAACCACCATAAAATCTCATTAAACCACCATAAAATCCCATTAAATCCCCTTAAATCTCATTGATTCAGTAGATCCATAGGACACTGATTGGCTCTGACACCAGCCGCCTCTCCGTTCCACTCCGTTCCACCCCGACGCAGCGCGCTTCCGACGCAGGACTTGCGGGAGGCGTTGCGTGCGGCCTTCGAACGGCTGAAAGTTGCAGCAGGGAGGTGTGTCCCGTCGCTGCTTTCACTGCCACGAAGGAGCTGAGCAAAAATCACATATAGAATGCATGTGTGATCATCTGTATATATATATATTATGTATAATTATATATATGCTATAATATAATATAATAGAATAGAATATAATATAATAGAATATATATATAATTATAATATTGTGTTAACATTATCATTATATTAACAAGTAGAGACATACATAATATGTGCGTATACATTACTATTGAACATATACATGTACGTGTGTATATATATATATATGTATGTATTGTAGCCATTGGGTAGCAATGGTGAAACAACTAACAAAATGAAGACATCATGATTTTAGCAAGCAAAAAAATGATTGAACTTTAGATTTGTGCAACACTTGATTTTGCAGCCATCAAGCATGAGTACGCACACGAACAGCCCTCGAAGTTGCCAGTTGTTTTATAAATCCATCTATAGAGATATCTATCATAAACCCCAATTTCAAGCGAACTAGTCACAACCCAACTTATCACAAAAACAAACAATAATGATATTTATATATATATATAGGGTTCATAATCCACAACCATTCATAATCCCATATTATCCAATCGATTTTCCCATGTTATCAAATATATAATCCAATACTCCCATGATACCATAATTGAACTGGCACCCCAAAACTATATAATATACCCTCTGGTAATTTAACATAGCTATTGAAAATGACCATTTATAGTTGAATTACCCATAAAAAATGGTGGATCTTTCCATAGTTTTTTGTAAACGTTTACCAGAGGGTAACAAGAAACAACAGCAGTTGGTCACTTCACGCATGATATATTTTCCATAATATATGGGATAATCCTTCCCATTGACTTTCATTTTTTCCAGCTGGTTGAAACCACCAACCAGCCATCTTATCGTTGATTTACCCCACTATATACTATAAAATGGAGATTTTCAATAGTTATGTAAACGTTTACCAGCGGGTACCAATGGCGGGTTTCCCAGATAATATATAGGTTTAAACACTAAATTGATCGAATGTCTTGGATGATTTGGGGTGCCATGACTTCGAAAACCCCCATCCATTTCCATCCCATCTTTCGTGCCGGTGTTCAAGTCTGACAACGACCTCACGTTGCGACCTCACTGGAGTACTTAAAGGTTCGTAAGGGGAATTATCCCAATATGATTGGTCTTGTTTTAAGTTAATGAAGTAAGCTGTGGTTATTTCATATAGCTATGGGAAATCACCATTTTTAGTAGGTAAATCATCATTAATCATCTATTTCTATGGGCCGTTTTCCATAGCTATCTTAAATAACCAGAGGGTAATATTTACCAAGTGGATTAGCAGTGGATATTACCAGTTGGATCATTTACCAATCATATTTATATACCAAGTGGATTATTGGTCTTATTCCGAGTTAGTGAGGTAGTACCCTCTGGTAATTTAACATAGCTACTTGTATTGGCTATTGAACATGGCCATTTATAGTTGAATTACCCATAAGAAACGGTGGATCGTTCCATAGTTTTTTGTAAACGTTTGCCGGAGGGTAAATCCAATTAGATCCATAAAATCCCATTAAATCCCATTAGATCCCATTAAACCACCATAAAATCCCATTAAATCCCATTAGATCCCATTAAACCACCATAAAATCCCATTAAATCCCATTAGATCCCATTAAACCACCACTAAACCACGATAAAATCCCATTAGATCCCATTAAACCACCACTAAACCACGATAAAATCCCATTAGATCCCATTAAACCACCATAAAATCCCATTGGATCCCATTAGATCACCATAAAATCCCATTAGGTCCCCATAGTGAGGTAGTAATCTTTCCCCAGATCAAGTTCAATCCCATCTTAACGCAACTTGTTAAGCGCCAGGTGGACGGAACCGGACGCCAAAGAGGAGGATGACATCGCCCCAACAACGGTGCATTGCTTTCGAAGGCGGGGCCAAAAATTCCACGGGGAAAAACCATGGGAAAATCCGTGGGAACATACAGGATGGTGCCCCCCAGTTATGTTTGTTGGTTTATAAACCCCACTATAACTAGTTCGTTAAATCTGCCATAAACCATAGTGAAATGGGAGTTATAAACGCACCAACTTAGCGATTCCGAACTGGGGCACCACCTTGTATGGAACATACCTGAAGTAAATGGAGGTTTGAATGGGAAGATTTTTTGGAAGATCATCGAACTCAACGAGGAATTTCCATTGCCAAATTGCCAGGGCTGGATTGCCACGTGATGTTTGCCGGATAAAACCATCGATTTTTCCTAATTTCATCACATCCACCTTTTTTTCATATTTGATCAGGTTAATTTCTCATGTTCGCTAGTTTCATCCACATATGTTCAATTGTGTTTTCGCAACAATCCGTCCTTTTTATTCCTTGTTCATATTCAATGACACACTAATTCAGCAATGAATTCATCATCTGGTTGGTGCTTTGGAACATTTTTATTTTTCCATTCAGTTGGGAATGTCATCATCCCAACTGACGAACTCATATTTTTCAGAGGGGTACTGTAGGCGAAAAACCACCAACCAGTCAGAGTTCAGCATACAATTCCATAATTTACTGATGGTTGCTGAAGAACTACGGTGGCTGGTTGCGAAATCCTGCACCACCAAAAGGATGATTGAAACCCTGTGAATAATGGGATGTTTACCACCTATCAACTGGTGCAGGATTTCGCAACCATCCGCAGTAGTATGGTTCATGGGTTTTACAACCGTCCTATTGATGAACAACATAAAGTGAACCGGCTTGCGACATTTTGCTGGTCAAGCACGGTTAAAGCCTATGGCCCTATGGATTTTGCTGGTTCACACCACCTTTGCTGATGAAACCATCATACAATTGATCCTTGTGAAATCCACATATTTTTCCTGGCGAAATCTGAATGTCAAATCCCAATTGCTGTCCTGTGGTTATTTGGCATGCCATGTTTGGCATGTCTGGTGATGAAATCGGATTTCTTCGTGGCCAAAATCGCTAGTTAAATTCGCCAGATCCACAAAGAGTGTGTCAAAAAGAAGAGTTTTACTGGTGAAATCCCATTTGTTTGTTGTTAAATCCACCATGTTTGCAGGTGAAACCCACATCAGATCCCTAATTGTTGATGGTGATCCCTGTAAAATCACCGTGTTTGATGGTTATATAATGTTATATAAATCCCCTATAATTTACAATAATTTACAGGCTGATCACTTTGTAACCATTTGATGGTTAAGTCCCCTATATGGATGAAATCACCATCAAAACACTTTTTTTTTTGCTTCAATCCCATCTGGTTGGGGTGTCATCCTTCCCATTGACTTGAACTCCATCATTTTTCAGAGGGGTTAGCAGCAACCACCAACCAGATTATTATCATTAACCATATAATAACCATATAATAACCATACAACCATATAATAACCATATAATAACCATATAATAACCATATAATAACCATATAATAACCATATAATAACCATATAATAGCCACATATATATATATATTAACAGTTTATTACCCACCAATGGTAGGTCAACCACCAACCAGCCATGACCGCAGGTTCTCTCCAAGCCATGCCCCCGGTCGGCTCTACCTTCGCGACAGTGCGACGGCGCCGGGAAACCTAAGGGACCTGGCAGTGTCGGTGACCCGTGACCCGGGTGACCCGTGACCCGGGTGACCCGTGGGTGGTGGGAAAAGCCATGGAAACGTCCCGAAAAAATTGGAGGTCTCACCATCCAAAATATGGATTTGGTGATTGGATTAATATGGATCAATATGGATTAATATGGATTTATAAATGTATCAACTATGTTCTTTTTTATGAGTTAACTCGCCAAAATCAAGATGATCAAACATTGGAGTTACATGATCCAACCAATGGTGGATTTGCCATGATAAAATGGAGGTTGAAGAGGCCAAGCTATGTGAATTTTGGATATACACAATCAAACAATAGGAATTGATCCAATGATCTAGTGGGACGACTGTTGTTTTAGGTGGTCTCCTTCTGCAAATTCAAGCGTTTGAACATGGTAGATTTATACTGATTAATCCCAAATTGTCAAGTTTCGTCGGAAATAACTACCTTCCCGTGTCATCAAACGTGGCTGGCCTGGAAAATCACCTACAAGAAATGGAGATTGAGTTGGGAAGATCATCGAACTAAATGGGAGATAATCAGATTTTCCTTCCAGCTATGCGAAATCCAGTAATTTATAGTTGATTTTCCCAATTTTTCCCAGCTATAGACTTCCGTTTAAAAGGCATTTCCCATGGTTTTCCCCTGGCCCAGGCCCTGGCCATCCGTGAAACTTCAGCGTGATAGCGAGCACGTGATCTGGCGGTCACTCGGAATCTGGCCGAGTTCGTGGCTGGTTTTGGTGTCAGATGTTTTGTACATCTTAATGCATATATTATATACATATAATTGTATACGTTTCAAATATATGGTACATCTTAGATATATATATATATATAATGGGCTAGCGCCCGGGTGCCGCCGACCCCCCTGCTTGGGGGCTGGGCTGGAGGCGCCAGCACAGTAGACGTCCATCCGCATGGAGCATGGCAGAGAAGATGGAAGGTGAAAGGAAGTGGCACATCCTGATGAGAACTAATTGATGTAAAGATTCAACCATGGCATGGTATGAATTTCCATGTTGGGGTCTATTCCCCAGGGGGTTGATTTGGATGTTTGTTGGTTGAAGGTTGGAAGGGTTTTGACGTTTTGGGGGTTTGGAGGGTTTGGAGGGTTTGGAGGGTTTGGAGCGTTTGGAGGGTTTGGAGGGTTTAGAGCGTTTTAAGGGTTTAGGGGCTGGCAAACGGCAAGCTTAGACGCCCATAAGAAGCCATGGATGTGGCCTTGGGACGCCTGTTGGCTGCGAAGGCCTGGCGAACGGCACGCTGGACCGCCCAGAAGAAGCGATGGATCTGTCGCTGTTGCCTGCGCTGGAAGCAGGCCTTGGGACGCCTGTTGGCTGCGAAGGCCTGGCAAGAAGCGATGGATCGGGCCTTGGGGTCGCTTTTGCCTGCGCTGGACGCCCAGAAGAAGCCATCGATGGGTGGTTTTAGAGGGAGGGTTTGGAGCGTTTGGAGCCCATAGACCCTTTTGCAGAGTTTTGAGGGTTGCAAGGGTTTTGACGTTTTGGGGGTTTGGAGGGTTTGGAGCGTTTGGAGCGTTTTAAGGGTTTAGGGGCTGGCAAACGGCAAGCTTGGACGCCCATAAGAAGCCATGGATGTGGCCTTGGAAGAAGCGATGGATCTGGCCGTGGGTTCGCTGTGGCGTGCGTTGGAGGCAGGCCTTTGGACGCCTGTTGGCTGAAGGTTGCAAGGGTTTTGACGTTTTGGGGGTTTGGAGGGTTTGGAGCGTTTGGAGGGTTTGGAGCGTTTGGAGCGTTTTAAGGGTTTAGGGGCTGGCAAACGGCAAACTTGGACGCCCATAAGAAGCCATGGATGTGGCCTTGGGACGCCTGTTGGCTGCGAAGGCCTGGCGAACGGCAAGCTGGACCGCCCAGAAGAAGCGATGGATCTGGCCTTGGGGTCGCTGTTGCCTGCGCTGGAAGTGGCGAACGGCACTCGGGACCGCCCTGAAGAAGCGATGGATCGGGCCTTGGGGTCGCTTTTGCCTGCGCTGGACGCCCATAAGAAGCCATCGATGGTTTTAGGGGTTTGAGGGTGTGGAGGGTTTGGACGTGTGGAGCGTTTGGATGGTTTTAAGGGTTTAGGGGCTGGCAAACGGCAAGCTTGGACGCCCATACGATGGTTTTAGGGGTTTGAGGGTTGTGGAGGGTTTGGAGCGCGTGGAGCGTTTGGATGGTTTTAAGGGTTTAGGGGCTGGCAAACGGCAAGCTTGGACGCCCATAAGAAGCCATTGATGTGGCCTTGGGATGCCTGCTGCTAAGAAAGACAAGTTCCACACCTGCGGTGGTCCCAGGCGCCGCCCCTGCATTGGCCAAGGCCGGGGTCGGCGGATAATGCCAACACCGGATTAATAACCCCCGCCAGAAGGTAGGGGGGGTACCTTCTGACTCGTTTTCTTGACCACCCCTTAATAAGAAGCAACTCTGAACCACAAAACTTTGGATACAGTATGGCTTACGTCAATTAGATCTTAACTTAATAGAATTCCATTGGATTTGTTAAAATCTCATGGATCAGAAAGGTGGTTGATTAATCAGGGGCAAACCCTGGTTATTATTAATGGGGGACATGGGCTCATGGGGGGTACCCTTTGGGAGCTATCCAAACTGATGATTTTTATAAAGATTTCAATTAAAAATCGATCATTTGGGAATAGTTGTTTTTTGAAATTTTCAATGATCAACTTAAACCTTAAGTATAACAATGATGATTAAAAAAAATGTAAAAAATAAGTGGAAATAAATAGAATCGGAAATAAAAATTGTTGGATAAAAAATGGATTTCAGCACTGGAGGTTTTTTAATTGGGGGTGTTTATTAATCCTGGGGGACCACCTGTTTTTAAATTGCATTTTTTGGGGCGGGGAGGAGGAGGTTGATTAATAACGGGACGTTGATTCATCCTGACTTGGCATTATGTATAATCTGATATGTTTATATATATATATATATTATACATATATGTACATGTGTATATATTAATACTATATATATATATATACACATACACAGCATATTCCAACGTTGATGTTCATGGGCTCAAATTCCAACGTAAGGTCCTGTTTCCATGGGCTACTATAAGGTGGTGCTCCATTTTGCCAATCGAGATATTCGACCACTAGGATACCTAAGGTTTGTGGTAGATCTATCGATCTTGAACAGTTATCAAGTTGATATAATATATATATATACATCATAAACCATAGAATTCACCGAATTATAATAGAATCTGTATATATTTGTTGGTTTATAAACCCCAGTAGTTCTTAAATATCTACCATAAAACTACCATGGGAATTCGGCAGTTCCCACCTTCCCCAACTGAGACGAGTGTCCCAGGCCCGAATGGATGCTGCCGCATTTCCAGGGGCCCGGCACTTGGGAGGACATTGGGACGTCCACTTTTTTGGAGGGGAATCTGACAGGGAATATGTCACTGGGATTGACTGGGAAGATGTGGTTCAACTATTTTTAGTGAGGTTAGAAAAACTTCCGCAATTGTTCAGACCTTTTGTTTTTTCAGTGTTTCTTGATGATCTTGGAAAAAGTTGATGAGTAAACGACATGTTCTTTCTGACATGGGTGATGTATGTTTAACATCACAACATCACGTCAATGACCGTTGGAGATCACCCATCACACTCCGACTGCTGGTAGGAAGTTGTGGTGAACATGATTTCATTTTGGAGCTGACGACATGGGACAAATGGTCGTAATTTCACAAGGTCGGACCATATTCATAGCTGTTGCAATCAACATTTACCCACTTTTACTATTGGTACCACCGGCATCATCGGGTGGTGGACATCGTTTCACCTCTCGATTCTTGATAGAATCAGTTCAAAAGGTAGGCGCATGCGCTCCATATTTGGGATGAATTCATTCACACTTATAAACTTACTACTCACATGCACCTCAACTCAAGGTATACTCTGCATGTTTGTTGCTCGTCCATCCTTATTTTATAGTAGCCATGTCGTTTGTTGGTCCCCATTGATGGTGAGACCCCATATGGATTTGCTGATTAAAACCACGAACCTTGAAACCCCTGTCACCTGTGGCAAGAAAGAAACCACCTCCAGCAAAGTCTGGCCCAGCTCCCTCAAACGATAGTGAAGATGGCGGATATTTCTCCAAAAAGATGTCCTGGCTGCTGTTCATTTGCTGTTTTTCGAGGCCGAGCTAGATCAAGTGACTAGGGGTTCTGTTCATCCTGTCAACCGACATTTAGAAGGGTCAATCTAAATGTCCTCTTGAAACTTGCGGCAGACCGGTTTTGTGCCAAAGTGCGCATCCCAATCCTGCCAGAGGAACGTCGGAACAGTTGAACGACCATGATGTTTCAGGCAAATCATAAATTTATCAATTTAGTTATGTATATATATTATATATATATGATATTTCAATCATCTTCAACCCTGGTAAAACCTGGTATCCTTTTTTGATATTTAAAACATGGTAAAACCACTCGAATTGACGTTCAAACCCCGGCAAAAACCTTAAAATTGATAGACATTGGTGAAATCGTCAGTAAAATGCCTATCATTTCCATAGATATCCCATCCAAAAATTCATAAATTTCCATAAATTTCCATAGATTTCCATAGATATCCCATCCTATCCAATGATATGTTCATATCATTTTCCATAGATATTCATGGTGAAACCCCATCCAATCAGGAGGGTGCCTCCATGGGTGGCATCTTCAGCTGGGCCCTGGAGCCCAACAGCGTCTCCTTCGGGGAGGGCTTTGAGGTGAGGTGCGTGAAAATCTCGGAGAAATATGGGTGAAGTCTGGGGATTTTATGGTGGTTTATGATGGTTTCATATGCTGTTTGCTGGTGGTTTCAAACATGACTTTTATGTTTCCATTTCATATATGGGATGTCATCCTTCCCATTGACTTTAACTCCATCATCATTTTTCAGAGGGGTTAATTTTTTTTAACCACCAACCAGATATGGATGCTCTTTTTTTTTGAAATGTGGGGATAGAAAAATCGATGGATCGAAATGGAATGTTTTGGTAACCAGCAGACATCAGGGATTTCACCGAACCAAGGATATATACATAATGATACCATTGTTATTTATAATTGGGTATTATGATATATAATAACAATGGTATATAATTATATATATATATATTATTACCATTATTATTATATATTATACATTTGCTCATGAAAGAATGGGGATGGGGATTGAAGCATCATTCATGATGAATATGGATACATTTTTGTCCCAAAAAATGGAGTACAACTCATTATTGTAGTCTGATTGGCAAAAAATGATGATCACCCATGTGATTTTGGGGTGCATTTAGTTGTGGATACCTGTGAAAACAATCTCTCCATGGTTGGGAGCGCCGATTGCTTCATAATGACACCATAAAAACAGATAATCATAATATCTAATCTGGGTGAATTATGGTTAATAAGCGGAATTATCCCATTATAGCCGAACTTTTTCAGGTTAGTTTTTGTTTGTTTAAAAAAAACATTGTTTAATCATTTACCCAGATCGACTGCCGTAAAGCCAATGCCAGGTTTACCATCCCCACTTGAGGTTTATGGCATTGGGTACTGGCGATGGGATGGTGGAAAATGACTTCCAGTCATGATTGGTGAATGGCTTGGTGAACATGGCAGCCAGGGTGCTCCCCATGGTTTACCAGGTTTAACCTCTATTCATGTGAGTTGTTTGCACCACCTTAGCAATTTCTATGGGGCACCACCATCCAGTCGGTTATCCAATTACAAAATATTATAAATATATCTATAATTTCCAATATATCATATGTTTGTCTTTATATCCCAATATCCCCATTAGATGGTTTTGCATCCCTTGTGGTTTTCTATGGATATTTTTCTGCTTATCCCCATGATATCCCATGATACCTCCCCATTAAATCACCTATAAATCTCTGTTGATGGACTTCCGGCCGAAAAAAAATCCGGCCAGGTGAACTTGCGCGACGAGCCTGGGCCCTGTGAGACCGGTACAAAGCTGGAGGAGGTGCCCAAGGGGAATGGATGACCCCTTACCCTTTTATTGGGGATACCCTCTGGTAAACTACCAGTTTGCTATTGAAAATGGCCATTTATATGTTGATTTTCCATGATTTTCCCATTAAAAATGGTGATTTTTCATAGTTATGTTAGTTTACCAGAGGGTATATTGGGGATAGTTTTCCCAGTATAATCCCGTCCCTCGTTGTTTTTTTTACACAGCAAGGGATTTACACATATTTTGGACCATGTAGGAGGTGTTTACTATTGAGTTGATGGGATTACCATCTGGTAAACATACCAAAAACTATGGAAAATCACCAATTTATAGTTGGGTAAATCAACATATAAATGTGCCATGTTCAATAGCAAACTGCAGCAAACTGCTAAATTACCATAGGGTAACCTGCAACAATTAGGGGACTTGACTAGATCTATCATAATCTATCTAGATTTTTCGGATGCATCCGTCAAACATAGTGATTGTTTTTGGGGATATGATGAAACACAATTTGATGTAAAGGACAATTGATGGGATATAAGTGGATATATTCTCATACCATATAGTATGATACATATTTGGTGTCTCTGAACCATGAGGTAGGTAGGCAAGCTATGGCCGGGTCTCTAGCAGAATTGCCATGGAGATATCACCTGAGTGGTGGTGGTGATTCTTTTGGCTTCACTTGGGGTCTATTTATGTGCCCTTTGCTGTTGATTGTCATCCTCCATGAGTCAACTTGGCGCCTTTTACATCAGCTTTTTGATGAAGGACAAGAACATAGTCACATAGTCGCTCAGTTGCCCCTATGGATTCTATGGATCCATGGCCACTTCCTGAGAAGGTGCTTAACCCCCTAAATCACCAGGAGCTACTTCGATCCATAGCTGCGATGAAATGTGTTGAATACCCCAAAACGCGGCTGCGATTTAGCTGGGACATCCCCTACAAATGGAGGTTTGTATCTGGGAAACTCATCGCACCTTGGGGGCAATTCCAGCAAGCCATGTTTGATGACACCGGAGGGTAAATCAACCCATTTATAATTTATATCTCATTGATATCATGTAAATATCCCATTAATATCCCCTTACAGATGATTTTCCCATATAAACAATGCATAGAAATCACCATTTTTGATGGTAAATCATGGAAACAAACAAGGCTTGGGAAACAGGTTACCCGGTTACCAGCAATCACATTGTGGTTTATCGGATGACCCCATAACTATGGAAAGATCCACCATTTTTAATGGGAAAACTCACTACTGGTTGGGTAAATCAACAGACAAAAATGTGCAAGTTTCAATAGCAAAGTGTAAGAGTTTACCGACCCCTTTGCATTATCATCATGACTTGTTGTGGAACCAACCAAAAAAACATTCTCAATGAATTGTTGTGGAAAAAAAACATTGAGGATCCGATAAATTGGACATGAAGGTTTTCACGTAGGGCACTAAAGTGACAACTCATTACCGAGGAACATAATCTATAGGGCAGAGTTCTGTCCGTTCAACATCGTTGAACTGTTCATCACAAATCCCATGTTGTTTTTTAAGGTGTAGCTGCTGCATGTATTTGAGCATATTTGAGCATATTCATGAATTGGTTCATGCTCCAGCTGAGCGATTCGCCACACATTATTTCTATTATGGCCTTTCAGCTGGGCTCAATTTTTTCGATTGTGGGTGAGTGATTTATCATGCTCACTCCACCTTTAGAAGATGATTCCCCGGTGGCTGACCGCCACAGCGATTTCCGTTTGCCCATCAATGGGGATGCCCAGCTTAGCCAAATTCTTTTTGGCCTGGTCCGCGTCTCGGTGAAATTCGCTTCTACAGCTTCGCTACGGGGCGCCTTGACTGGACCAAACTGGGCCTCTTTGGACCGTCGTTGCTCGAGCCTCCAGGCCGACAGACCTTGCGCCGTGTGCAGAAGTTCGCAGATGACTTCCCCTCACCGATTAGGGGGGCCAGACGTTCGGTGGTGAGCAGTTGTTGATTGTGTCACATGGTAAGTAGATGTAAGTAGTATCAACCCATTGTTGTTTTACAGCCCTAACAACCTATTATCAATGTATTCTCAACCCATTGAATCCACCCCCATTGCTGTTATACTCTCAACCAGGCTTGATTCATTTGTCCAGGACATCCCCGAGCGCTTACCGAACGATTTCCTGCTGAGCTTCCGTCGCGGCTACGCCGCGTGGCACTTCACAGAGCCTTGGATGCCATGGAGCTGTGAAGGTTTTAAGGAACACATGGGGATTTAACCATCATAGAGTCAATAGAGATGAGTTTATGGATGTTTATGGTGATTTAATGGGGCTTTAAAGAACAAACACATACAACATAATAGGAGTTTAACCATCAAAAGCTGAGATGTATACCTGATTTCAGCATCAATAATTGGGTTTTTTCAGCACCAAAAGTGCAACGTGTTGCTCCTGAGATAGATAAGTTGCCTTACAACTCGGCAAAAACCACAGTTGTTCGACGTGGTTTCCATGGGTTGGGGGTGGGTGGGACCTGAAAATGTAGTAAACTGCCAATGTACCGTATACCCAGATAAGGATTTTTTCCACAAATTTACCCCCAGCCTTTCTGCTACCTTTGAGGGAGCAATTTGAGTATATCAGAAGTGCACACCTAAACATGTAATATTGCATGTTTAGGTGGTACTGTCCTGTTTTGAGCATGTCTACTTATATATAATGAACATGTCACACTGCTATAAATCGCGGAGGTATGGCTTCTCAAAATTTCGCTTGCATGTTTGAGGTCCCCAAAGTCTGAGGCTGTAGGGATATTTTTAGGTCGAATGAGGTCAAACAAACAATTTACCATCTGGTTATTTAACAGTTTGCCATGGAAAATCACCATGCTATTAATAGATAAACCATCTATTTCTATGGGCCATCTATACCATGGCTATGTTAAATAACCAGAGGGTATATAGTATAAGTGAGGATGTCAATTTCACCTGGAAAAAAACGCACACAAATATGCCATGTCTTTCAGTGGTGGGGGTGACGTTTTTGGAACACCAAAATCCTCCAACACGAGTTGTTGAACCCCCTCAGCTCTGTTGGTGAACTCGTATTGTTTTAGCATTTGCTGCCCAAAACGTCTCAGAACATGGACTATACGTGTTTGATGTATTTGTTTCTTGTCGGTTACATGTGTGTTTCGTCTGAATTTCGATCCATACGCAAATCGTATATTCATTGTTCATGCACTGGTGGGACAAGAGTGCATGTTTTGAAGCTGTAGGTTGTGCTGTTCTTAGAACATGTTGCAAAGTGGACCCCCAGTTGAAAGTCAATATATAAGCCCATTCAACTGTTGGTTGATCTCCACCTTACAGTGATCTCCACCTTAAATCCAATACATTAATATATATATATATATAATGGATCTTCAACTTAAATCCAACCGTTATTAAAGCTATAAACCGTCTCAATGTGGTAAACCCAACAATGGTAATACAAAGTTACAAACCACCATATCACCATACCACCATAAAGCAAGTATCAGGGACCACGTTTGTTGGTTAAATCCCTATTGGTGAAATCACAATTTTCTGTCAACACATCTCGCAGGCTGAAACTCGTGGCAGGCCCACTATGTGACGGTGACGGTGGGTGAAGTGACCCTGCTGTTGTTTCTTGTTGCCCTTTGGTAAACCTACAAAAAACGATGGACAGATTCACCATTTTATAGTTGGGTAAATCACCTATTTCGACTGGGCCATTTTCCAGTTCGCAAACTGTAAGAGTTTACCAGAGGGTATCCTTTTTGGAATTTCGGGGATGCCGTCCATCCCTTGAAAACAAGATCCCAATGGTTTGAGACGTCACTTTTCTGTGAAGATGGTCAGTTTGGGTATATCCCCTATTTTGCAGGCAATGCCGCCTATCATCTCAAGCTGGTTATACAGTACATTTTCGATGGCTCCATCCCCACATATCCCACAAGATGGGGCCCCCAAGATAGCGTTCAGTTGGTTTATAAGTGGTTTAACTATGGTTTATGGTAGATAATACATGATATAACAAGCTAGTTAATGGGGATTATTTCATGGTTTATAAACCAACCAACTTATAACTGGGGGGCCCATCCTGTACATAAGATCCATGTATGTATGGTATATATATGCTAACATGACTGGGGGTATATTGATGGGATCCATGGCACACCATATATAGCAGCACCGTTAGGATCCGTCATGGGCTCCGCAGGTCGGGTGCTCAAAAGATGGTCCCCGACACCTTGTTCGGCTCGAAGGTGCCCAGAGGGTCCGAAGCCATCCCCGGGAGTCGAGGGTTCCATCAATGGGATTCAATGGGGGTTCCATAGTCATGGAAATACCCCTACTTATGGATGGTTTATTTCATGGGAAATCCATCTATAAATGGATGATGACTGGGGTTACCCGGTTAATGTCAACCCCGGATGAGACTAAACCATGGTTTATTTTTTTTTTGGGGGTACTACTCCAATAGTCATTTCATCTAATACTTACCCTCCCAATTAAACGGCCCAGGGGTTTATTAATCCAGGGTTGAATTAACCGGGTAACCCCAGTCATCATCCATTTATAGATGGATTTCCCATGAAATAAACCATCCATTTTGGGGTATTTCCATGACTATGGAAACCACTATGTGAAATCCCAACTATGTATATATAATTATCTGGGTAAATTATAACGACCTCACTGCGACCGAGCCCTGGAAATCATGGTTAATAAGGGAAATCATCCCCAAATCGCCGAACTATTCAGGTTAGTGAAATATTATAATTTACCCAGATTTATATATGGATTTCCCATGAAATAAACCAGCCATAAGTAGGGGTACCCCGATTTTTTTTGAAACCACTATGTGAAACACAATCCAACAGAAATTCTTGGAACTGCGGTGAACCCCCGCACCGTGGAGATGTTCGGGTGGCTGAAAACGGGGAAACGATGGGTAAACGAATGGTCCATCCCTGAGTTGGACAAAAAAAAACCATGGAAGGCCCTAAAGGAATCCCGGAAAAGATTAGGGTAAAATTGACCTTTCCGAAGTTTAAATACTATATGTGACAATTACTAAAAGTGTTTTTTTGGTTGTTTTCTGCGTCTCTTTTGGGGGGTCACCAGGGGTTACCAAAAATCTTCCCTGGTAAACATCCCATGGCTGTCCGAAGCGCTGTCAGGCCGGTCAACGACAGATGCGGCTCGGTGGCGACTTTTGGTGTAGATAGACATAGATCAACAATCCTGAAAACATGTGGGGCCCCACATATAGATACATATGGATGAGTTGGTTGATGTTCGCCCATCAAACTACCTGCCTACCCTAGCTCCCTAGCTCCCTACCTCCCTCCCTACCTACTCGTACCTACCATTACCATCCATTACTTACTTCCCTGCCTACCCAGATACATGTAGACACAATTCACTGCATGGTATTGCATCGCGTCGCACCACATTACATTACGTTACGTTACATTGCATAAACATATATAACATCATACATACATCATAGAATATCTTTTTATATTATATACTAATATACTGTACTTTACACTACACTTCAGCACTTCGCATTACAGTACATTGCGTGACATTACATTGGATTACATTGCAGTACATGACATTATATACATTAGATCATAATTCATTACACTATCCCATATGCTCCATGTATAGAATATGTTACCAACATTTACCACCAAAATGACCCAGTTTTGTAGGTAAATATTCATAAATATTCCATACATGGAGCATTTGGGTATTATATTTATATACATTAGATATTTATACACAATTTATATATATATATTAGATACATTAGATCATCTATATAATTATATATTATAGATATGTATATATATATACCATGGTATTAGATTGCATCTCCAATGCGGCACAGAACATGTGCCACACCCAGTGCCACCAACCAGTCGCCGAGGTTTTGGGCCGCGTGTCTGGAGTGCCATGATGGGAAGCATTACGTGCTGGCCGCTGGGACGAGCTGATGACGAGTTAACTGATGAAAGATCCATGGAACATCAACGGGTCTGAAAATAGAGATTGAATCCAGTGGGGAATGTGATATTTTTATGATATTTTATGATATTTTATGATATTTGATGATATTTTGTCCCTATTTAAAGTGGGCCAAACTGGGAGGCATCCCTTATTTTCACGCCCAAATCCATTCTTCATTGATTTTTTATGTCGGAAAAGTCCCTGTTTAGATAACGTTGGATGGGTAGTTTAATCCTTTAGTAGTTACTTGAAATGTTTTTTTTAGAAAATAACCAGCAAAAGATGAACATTTGTTTCGTGGTTGATCAAAGATTGACCATGAAATCCACTTTATTTTTCATACAGGCGATATATCGAACTAGTTAATAATCCAGGTGGTGCCGCATAGCTGCTAAGTTGGCTTACAAGTCCAATATATAATATAACTATGGTTTTTAGATTTATAGTTGAGAATGGGATTATAATAATCCATTTATAACTGGGGGGGTACCACCTTGTAGGGGGGTCCCAGCTGAGGTCGGGA